AGTACTCCTCGACCTGGAGCTTTCATTGGAAGCTCAGGTGACAGCCGAAGCTGAAGGAAAGCGCTCCTCGCCACCGCTGTCACCTGAGCTTCCAATGAAAGCTCCGGGTCAAGGAGCACTCCCAAACTGCGGACCTTGTCCCTAAGAGGGAGTGCAACCCCATTCAGGACTAGGTTAAGTCCCCCGTCTCCGAAGCCTGATCCGCCAACCAACAGGACCTCCGTCTTGTCTGGATTGAGCTTCAGTTTATTGGCCCTCATCCAGCCCATTACCTCGACCAGGCACCGGTTCAGCACAGTCACTGCCTCACCTGGATTGGTGGAAAACGATAGGTAGAGCTGGGTATCATCAGCGTACTGATGATTCCACAGCCCACACCTCCTGATGACCTCTCCCAGCGGTTTCATGTAGATGTTAAACAGCAAAGGGGACAAAATGGATCCCTGCGGTACTCCATGGCATAGCTGCCATGGTGCAGAGCCATAGTACCCCAGCACCACCTTCTGGAATCGGCCACTGAGATAGGAGCGGAACCACTGCAAAGCAGTGCCTCCGACCCCCAATCCCGCTAGCCTATCCAGAAAGATACCATGGTTGATGGTAGCAAAAACTGCTGAGAGGTCCAGGAGAACCAACAGGGACGCAAGCCCCCTGTCCTTCTCCCTGCACAGGTCATCGTACAGGGCGACCAAGGCAGATTCAGTACCGTACCTGGGTCTGAAGCCGGACTGAAATGGGTCTAGATAATCAGTTTCATCCAAGAGTGCTTGGAGTTGTCCCGCCAACACCCGCTCCAACACCTTGCCCAGAAATGGGATGTTGGCCACTGGTCTGTAGTTAGTGACCATCTCTGGATCCAGTGACGCTTTCTTCAGGACTGGTTGGACTACCACCTCCTTTAAAGGGGAAGGCACCCGACCCTCCCTCAGAGAAGCGTTAACTACTTCCAAGATCCAGATCCCAATCCCGTGCTTGGAATTATTTATTAACCAAGATGGGCAAGGGTCCAATAGGCAAGTGGTGGGACGTACTCGTCCAAGCACCTTGTCCACATCATTGGGCCGCACTAACTGAAATACACCCTGTGGGTAAAACCAGAACCGCTGTTATGCACTGCTTCTAAAGCACAGGTCATGGATTCAATCCAGGGGAATACCATGGTCTGTGCTACTGAAGGGCTTCCAATACCCCTTTCTCTTTCTCAATCAGGGTGACCAAGGCTGATTTAGGGTGGCCGTTATCAAGTCATGTTGGGTCTAGGTGGCAGTAACTGAAACCGATCCCACAAAATTGGGATCAGACAGGAATTGCATGAACAACAGTATCAGGATTGCAGTGGGGGAAAGTGATTTTGTCCTCAAAAGACAGTGCAAAAGGGCCACAGCAGGTGTTAGAGGGGACAAGGGCCCATTGCTAGGGGGAGTACTAACAACCCCCAGACCATCCCACAAAGAGGAAGCCTGTTGAAGTTGCTGATTAAAAAACAAGCTAAGCCACATAAGTTACCATTCTTAGAAGGGCACATTTCAACAGCCCTATTCAGCTGTAGAAAACTTTTATAAAAGCAACTTTCAGGGACCAGGAGTGCAGTGCTGTAGCTCACGTGTTTCTGTCTCCCTATACTAGTGGAGGTCACTGGTCAGAAGAAGAGAGTCTCCTGCATCTGCAGATGTTCTCCATGTAATCCAGGAAACTGGAAAGTCAACATCATAGCATATGTAGAGAGCCTCTGTGGAGAATGGAAGCTCTCCTCTTCTGACCATTGTTCTACCCAGGTGCAGGGTGATAGCAGTGTACAAGGTACAAGGATTTCACACAGGTCCTGAATGATTATAAGGTCAGTGTAGACAACCAATGTAACATTGAGATGGCAAACTCACAGACAAAAAGCATGCATGCCACCCTTTGCATAGACTTAGGGCCCAACAGTCTGTGCCCCTCTTAGATGCACATCTTAATATGGTAAAGGGGTTTGAGAGTGCAAGAAGACAATGTCGCCAGGAGACCAGAGTCTCTCTGCAGGGTCACCCCACGTGGAATGGTCTATACAGAAGAACTATACAGAATATATAGAAGAATCGACAGACTCTTTTGAAGAGGAAACCTATGAGGAAGAACCTGCAATATTGGAAAGTGAAGTGAAAGCAATTGGAAAGAATAAAACAGTGAAAGTCAATAGGGTACCTACAGAACTTTTCCAAGCTACGGGGACTGAATTGGTCCAAATCCAATCAAGAATATGTCAGCAAAGATGGGGAACGAAACAGCCTTTGACTGTGTTGATCATGAGAACCTATGGGTGGTCCTGAAAGAAATGGGAGCACCTCAGCATTTGATTGCCCTGATGTGTAACCTGTATTGTGGACAAGAAGTTACTGTTAGGACAGAATATGGAGAACCAAAATGGTTTCCTGTAGGTAAAGGCATCAGACAAGGGCTTGTTTTTATCTCCCTGTCGGTTCAATCTGTATTTAGAACATATACAGAAAACTGAATCAGGGTCAGAAGAAGGAGGAGTGAAAATTGGCTGAAGGTATATTAATAATTCAAGATAAGCAGATGATACCATGTTATTGGCATTAAGTTGCAATTAATTGAAATTACTCCTGATGAAAATGAAAGAACATGCAAAAGCAAGACTGTAGCTGAATGTTACAAAAACAAAACTCAAGACTACAGAAGAATGGCAGAATTTTACTTCCAACAATGAAGAATTCAAAATTATGGAAGTTTCTACACACATACCTTGGCTCAGTCTTCAATTCAAAGAGAAACTGCACCCAAGAAATTAGAAGAAGCCTGAGACTTGGAAGGGCAGCAATGAAGTAACTAGAAAAGATCACTGGAGACCAGAGTCAAACTCATCCACAGTATTACATTCCTGATCCCTGTGAAAGCTGGAATGTGACAGGAAGAAAATTGATGCATTCAAAACATGATGCTGTTAGCATAGAGCTTTGTGAATACCCTAGACCAACAGAAAGACAAAAATGTGGATCCTAGATCAAGCCAGAACTCTCCTTGGAAGCATCAGTGGCAAAAATGATGCTGTTGTGTGTAGGACTCATAATAAGAAAGGAAGACTCACTGGAGAAAACAACATTAGGGAAAATTGAAGGCAGAAGAAAAGGAAGACCAAGTATGAGATGGACTGATTCCATAAAGGAAGCCAAAACCTTGAGTTTTCAAAGGAGCTTCCTGTCAAGGACAGGTCATTTAAGCAGGCATTCATTCCTATGGTCTCTGTAAGTTGGAGATGACTTTATGGGATGTAACAACAGCCACCGATGTCTCATGTCAGTTGCTTATCAGCAAATACAAAAATTAAAGGCCCCAATCCAGCTGAAAATTGTTATGACCCCTTGAAATGGATACCACAAATTAACTGTGACTAATGTAAGACCCAATGATTTTAATGAGACACAGTCTTGGCTATTTAATTTATATATTTTAAAGTATTTTTAAAGGTGCCTTTCAGTACAGTTTTAATTAGATTGTTACTTCTAATTAGAATAAATTACACAACTTGGGAAATTTTCTCAGAAATGTAGAATATGTCCTTTATACAATGGATTATATCTAATGTCATTCTTACTTAGAAGAGACCCCTGAAATGAAAGGGACCGAATAGGACATAGTCATAATTAACAAGTCCTATTCATTTTCATGTGTCTTGTCTAAGAATAGCACCAGATGCAACCTAATATTATCAATTGCTGGGTATTCTGCACCCCGCTCACTGGGACAGTGATCAGGTAGTTTTTAGGGTAAGGCAATTCCATTTTGCATTATGATGATTTCTTTTTCTTTCTCCAGTGTTCCTCCAATAAAGGGGAAAGGAAATTCTTTACTCTGCCTTTGCATCAGCTTCCTATGGGGGAGAAAGTAAACATAGCAAGCGTGAGTCCTTCCATGTGCAATATTTAGAGTGTTTTCCATATCTGTTTTCACCACTGTTTCTCTGCTAGCCACTAGATGGTGCACAATATAGAAAACAATTCTTACAGTGCAATTCCTTATGTATCTATTCCAAAGAAAGTTTGCATTCAGTGCTGCTTATTCCTAGGTGGATCCAGGATTACAGCAATGATAGCTTAATCCAGCAAGCCCAATGCTTAGAGTTTGTATAGTTTTCCCTGCTCTGGAAGGTGGGAGCTAATATTTCACTGCTAGCATTTTGTTCACTGCGAGTGAACAAAAAATCTCAAAGAGGAACACTGACAAATTCTGTGGTCTAGCAGTAAAAGACATACCAGCCCAGCCTATCACAGCTGGAAGAAGGATTTACAGGTTACCTTTGGGCTTCTTTTGTTTTTCAAATCCCCTAAATTCAGCTTGATTGGTGCACTTTTGTCTTTAAACACATGGAACTGCTGCTGTCTTATCTAGTTTGCATTGTGAATAAGCCAAGATGGTTGTACCATGAATACAAGTGCAGATGAATCCATGGCAATCTAAAGTTAACTACATGAGCATGTCTGTATAACTCTACTAAATCACCAGTTTCCAAAGCAGATTTCCCTTGTGAAAATAGAATTGATGAAATTGTGTGATTCTAATGGATTAGAATCCTGTTATGAAGATTTGAAATGCAGTTTGTTTACTCTTATTGTCAAATTGGACAAAAGAAAGAGATTTTCTTGGAAGAAGATGGAAATTTTAGAAATGAGTTAGAATGAATAAGTAATGACATTTCTGGTTTGTTTTTTCTTAGGACAAAGAATATAATGTATTCATGACCGCAGAAAATGGGTAAAACTTTCCCTTCTCTGTTTGTAATTATTCTGCTGACTTTGCTGTTCTGCATTTTCCTGGCCTAGATTTTAAATTTGAGAATTTATTTACAGCTCTCTGAAATGGCTTAAAAAGAAAAAAATAAGTAGTTTGATCCATTCCCACCCATGTGCACTCAGGAAGAAATTTCACATAGCGCTTGAATTTTCATTTTCTTCTGTCAGTCTTTAGCTAGCTGTGTGTATATTGCTGAAGTTCGTTCGTTCGTTCTCTCTCTCTCTCTCTCTCTCTCTCTCTCTCTCTCTCTCTCTCTCTTTCTCTCTGTGTGTGTGTGTGGGGGGGGATGGTGGGAGGCAGAGGCTCAAGAGAAGCTGTTTTAAGGTACAGCTGAAACAGATGTTTTAAGGTACAGCTGTTTGTGAACATTGGCACAATATCTACTTTTATAGCTTGAATTTTGAATGCTATTTTTTGAATTTGAAATTGGAACATAAGTTTGGATGGAACATTTTATTTCCATTTAATGAGCTTTATGTTGGTTGCTATCTTTTCTTTTTAATTTTGGCAATCATCAAAGATGAAATATTAGAATGTTATATCTATTATGCTAGTGGGAAAATGACAAGAGTTGGTGCTGTTCTGCTGAAGGCTGGTGTTGTCACATTGATGGGACTGTTTATCTTCTGCAGGGGTTAAGAACCATCGATTGTACTCTGGGCATTCCTTTAATGATCAGAGTACAATCCACAGCAAATGAATTAGAACAACATCAAACCTAAGGAAATCAGAACAAGTTGTGCAAGCCTTGAGCAGTGATTTGCAGGAGAGTTTGCACAATAGCTCACACAATGTTCAATGGTCTAAGTTCATGGTGTGAGTAGTTCAATGACATATACAACAGTTTATGCTAGTGGAATCAAAATGCTGGAGTTGAGATCACTTGCAGAAGGATATATCCAGGGCTTCCACAAGCAGTAGGTTTATGTAAGTGGAATAATGCTTCCACTTACAAGCCATGCAAGCCATGAAGTGTCACCTGTGAAAAGTTTTTTATTAGATGTTGACAAATATGTAATATTATTCTGTGTCAACTGATGAAGAATGTTGAATACGATCTGCTGAAAGCAAACCCCAGAGCAAACATACTTTGTATGTTGTTGTGAAAGCTTTAGCTACAGAGTGACTGAATTCTGAATTCACAGTAACTGAATTCACAAATAACAAAACAAAAACAACTTGTTTTGAGTGTTAAAGCTACCCTGAGCCTCCCACCCACTAACTTCCATCCCACTGCACGTTGTGACAAGGATATGTAACAAATGTTTCACAAGGTAACAAAAGTGTGCAAGGTGCCTTAATACCATTTTGCTCTCAGCCTTGTAACAGACTTTTCAGTAGGTCACTCTCATTCATGTTTCAAAAAGTGGAAAGGAAGAGGAAAAATCAGGAAATAGGAATGAGAAATCTAGCATTTGAGGTAAATCCTGAAGTCAGATTTCTTCAATCAAAATCTAGGGTTTAAATGCAATGTTACATGAGCATACATAACTATTATGCTGTTATTCTCATATGTTCAAATTACCAAAAGAAGATCCTGAATTTACTGCATAATACTTACATAATGTACATAAAGTTGATATGATTTATTATATGAGTCTTTGTGATCTAGCCAGAATCCCCTAGATATCCGTCTGGGTTTTGATCTCTGTCCGGAGGAGCAGGATTTCATCTGCAAGCGTAAGAAATATGTTGCTGCTGCTTTGAAAAATGTTCTTCGCCTAGAAGAAGACCTGCAGGATGATGAGGTATGACCACCTGAAGCCAGAGGGCAGAGAAAGGGGACTTACAGGTACATGCACACCTGCCCCTGCCTAAGGCATCCCATTGGCTAAGGAGTGGAAGACCAAACTCCACCTCCCCATTAGCAGCTGTTTGGCGTCCTCACATTCAGTTTCTGCTCATGTCAGCCCAATGCCAGCTTGACTCGTCAGGGCTGGCCTTACATTAGGCTGGTTGCTTTAGACCAGCCTTCCCCAACCTGGTGGCCTTCAGCCTTCAGCTGCATTTGGACTGCAGCTGCCCGAATTCCCATCCAGCAGGGCCATTGACTGGGGATTCTGGGTGTTGCAGTTCAAACATTTCTGGAAGGTACCAGGTTGAGAAAGACTGCTTTAGATAGCTGATTTTGGGAAGAATTTTTAGAAGCATTTTGAGGAACATATTATTGGAAGGAGAATGAACTGTTAGTTTTCAGCATTATTACTGGAAAGATAATCATATTTGCAGATGATACGAAATTGTGTGGAATAGCAAACACCCTAGAAGACAGAATAAAGATCCAGGACAAACTTGATAAACTTGAACATTGGGCTGAAAGCAACAGAATGAGATAGTGCCAAGTAGTACCAAGTCCTCCACCTAGAAAAAAGAAACCAAATGCATCGATACAAGATGGGGAATAGAACTGAAAAAGAAAAAGATCTTGGAGTAACAGGCTAAACATGAGCCAACAATGTGATGCAGCCGCCAAAAGGGCAAATGCTATTTTGGGATGCATTAACAGAAGTATTACTTCCAAATCACAAGAAGTAGTTATTCCTCTATACTCCTCACTGGTCAGACCATACCTGGAATATTGTGTCCAGTTCAGGTCACCAAGATTTAAGAAAGATGCAGCTAAATTAGAAAGGGTCCAGCAGAGGGCTACAAAAATAATCCAGGGTTTGGGAACATTGCCCTATGAGGAGAGACTGGGAGAATTGGGCATTTCAGCCTTGAGAAGAGAAGACTGAGAGGGGACATGATATCCCTTTATAAGTACCTCAAAGCCTTTCACAAAGAGGAAGTTCAAGATCTTTTCTTGCTGACGCCATAGTGTAGGACACAAATAATCAGTTCAAGTTGCGGCAACCCAGATTGAGCTTCCTCACTGTTAGAACAATATGACAGTGGAACCAGCTGCCTAGGTGGTTAGTTCTTGCACACTAGAGACTTTCAAAAATAAACTGGAGAGCCATCTGAGTGGGATGGTGTAACTTGGTGTCCTGAAACAGCAGGGGGTTGGACTTGATGGCCTTCATGGCCCCTTCCAAGTCTACTATTCTATGGTTCTATGATTCTATGACCATTGTATTTTTTTCTAACTGGGGAACATGGATATGAGGGTTTTTTTTCAAGAGCCTTGCCTTGGGATTGAGAATACTATCCAAAATCCTCTTTTGTTTCAGGAATTCCACCACTGTGATTCAAATTTGAAAATTTCAGAAATCTTTTTTTACAGTTCTGCGGTGTAACCTGTATTTAAAATGTACAGCCGGAATATGGTTGATAAAAATATATTTTCTATCCATACATCTGTCTTGCTGAGTCTGATCCATTCCAACCACTCCCATACACCAAAGCCAACTAACAAAACAAGTATTCATTTATGCAAAACATTTATTTCTTCGTCGTGGCTTCTGTGCATCACACATATGGGTACTGCGCCTGTGCAGTGCCTGTGGCTGGAAGATTGACAGCTTACGGTTTTTGGCGGGAAGCTCCGCTCCCCCTCCCCCTGTGGCCTATAAAGAGCAGAGCGTCTGCCATTTTGTTCAGTCTTTGCGACCGCCATTCACTGTGCCTCATGCCGTTTTCGACTTTTGCTTAGAGCTGTTACCTTGCTCTCGATTGTCCTTCTTTCCCAGTTTTTTCTTCTAAAAAAAAAAAAAACCTTGCTCCCAGTTCATTGTCTGTCGTAGTTTTTCTCTTGTTATTTCTACTTTCAATCTATCTATCTGAATACACACACACACACACACACACACTTACCCTCTGCACTATCCCTCTCTTCTTCTTCTGTGATGGCGCAGCGAGCAGCTTTCCACAAATGTGCGGACTGCGGGTCAAAAATGGCACCAACTGACCCGCATGACCTATGCCTCCTCTGCCTGGGAGAGGGGCATAGGACGGATAAATGCGCGCATTGCCTGGCCTTCTCCAAGCAGGCCAGGAAGAACCGCGAAAACCGCCTCCGGAGACTCCTTTGGGATCTGGCTCTGATGCAATCAGACCCGCTTGTTGCCGTCCCAAAACCTGGCTCCACTTCTGTGGCCCCACCCTCACGGCCTTCGGATGAACGTGTGTCTGCTTCGGTGGCTCCCTCTGCTTCACCTAAAAAGAAGCATGGAAAGCAGAAGCATGCCGAATCCGAGAAGTCCGCAGGCCATAAAAAGGCCAGGAAGGAGAAGGTCTCCAAGCCTCCCAAGAAAACCAGGAATTCGGACTGTCCAGACCATCCCCGACATTGGGACTCGGATCCGATGGGCCCGTTGGTACCGGTGGCGCTTACGGTACTGACTCCGCCCAAACCGCTCCTCCAGGAGGCTATGTGGGTTACCCCTCAAGGGTCTCCCCGCCATGTGGTTGCCCTCCCACCTGCACCCCTTCCAACTCTACGGGGTTCAATATCTGATGGGGAAATCTAGGACTCCCCTCCTAGGGCAAGGTCACCGACACCCATGACCGTGGTCACAATAGAAGCGGACGTTGGACTGTCCCCACCGGGGAGCCAGAGGAGCCGCTCTGCAGAGCAACGTCCGGAGAGCTGGCGTTGCCCCTACTACCATACTTGGGGTGATCCGCGCTCCGTAGGGTACTACCCTGCTCCCAGGGCACTATCCTCTCCTCCATCCCGTGACCAACCGCGCTCATCGGATCAGAGGCAGGCATCACCTCGATCCCCACAGGGTGGAAGCAGCGGAGTCATCATCCCCGGTGGAGTCATCCTCTTCGGCCCCACCCTACTATGGTGCTGATTTGGCCGACTCGGAGGTCGACTCAACTTCTCTGGACATTGCTGTGACATCCCAGGGTCCTGCGTCGCCTGATGAGTCCCATGTCTCCTTTACAGAGCTGATGTCTAGACTTGTCCAGTCCCTGGACATCGACGCTGCCCAGCGCCCAGGACCGATGACGGACAAGTTCTACGATGTCGTCCGCGGGGAGCAATCAACATCCATCGTCCTGCTGCTGATAACTACCTTGCGGCAGGCGATGACGCAGCCCTGGGACTTGCCATCACAACCTCAGCCGATGTCCAGAAGATATGAGTCGATGTACAGGGTTCAGGAGGAGGACATCCCCTTCCTCCTCCAACATTCCAAACCAAACTCTGCGGTCGTCGAATCCTCACAGGGCAGAGAGGCGAGAGGGCACACAGCACCAAGGGATAAAGAGGACCGAAAAATAGACTCCCTGGCTAGGCGAGTCTGCACTGCTTCAGGCTTGGGGCTCCGTATATCAAATTACGAGACGACGTTGGCGAGGTATCAATACTTTATTATGCAGCGCCTGCACAACGTTGCCTCCACCCTCCCGGACCACCAGGGTGACCTCGCGAAGGTCCTGATTAAGGAAGCCATGCAGGTCGTGGTGCAGCAGTCATCCACGGCAAGGCACCGCGTGGATACTGACTCACAGGCCTTGGTCGGTGCCGTTTCTCTCTGAAGGCATGCATGGCTTCGGAATTGTAATTTTCCGGAAGAAACCAAGCGCCGGATCGAGGAATGTCTTTCGATGGATCCGGGCTTTTCCATTCTCGCACCGACCTCAAGGAGCTGCATGAATCGAGGATGACGGCATGTAGGATGGAGATACAGTCCCATGCCAGACGTAAGTGGTCCTGGAATCGTCCATCCTACAGGCAATCATATCAATCGAGGCAGCAGCCACAACACCACCAGCAACAGCAGCGCTGTCATCCTCAGCCCCAACAACGCTTCCAACAAGGCCGCCGTCGTTTCGACGATTGGAGGCAACGTTGATGGGACTGGCGAACCATTCCTCATGCTCCACCAATACCCACCCCCCTCTCATCTGGGGATCGGCTTCGAAGCCGACTCCCCATTTGGGAGTCCATCACATCTGATCAGTGGGTATTGTCCATCGTTCAACACGGCTATCGAATAGAATTCGACATCGTTCCTCCGTCGAGTCCGATCCGGTCCACTTCATGTTCACCGGTACTGCTCGACGAAATACATCAACTTCTTCGTAAAGGAGCGATTCGTCAAGTATTCCCACCTGACGGACTCCACAGATTCTATTCCAGATACTTCACGGTCCCTAAGCGGGATGGTGGTCTATGTCCGATTTTGGACTTACGGAACTTAAATAAGTTTATTGTACCAAAAAAGTTTCGTATGACTACCCTTCAAAACATTTTGCCATTGCTAAGGAGAGAGGATTGGTTCGCCTCATTGGACTTGAAGGATGCCTACTTCCATATTTCAATTCACCCAAGTTACAGGCGTTTCCTTTGTTTTGCAGTTGCAAACCAACTTTATGAGTTTACAGTTTTGCCTTTTGGAATGGCTACGGCTCCGAGGGTTTTTACCAAGTGCATGGCTCCTGTCTGTGCCTTCCTACACCTCCAGAGCATACAAATTTATCCGTACCTCGATGACTGGCTGTTGATGTCGCAGTCCAGAGAAGGACTCCTTGCGGCCATCCATACAACTTGTGCCTTGCTCAATAGTCTAGGCCTACGTATTAATACTGAGAAATCTTCTCTTCTCCTGACACAGACGCTCACCTTCATTGGAGCCCACTTGGATTCGACGTTGGAAAAAGCCTTCCTCCCTCAGGACAGAAACAGCCACATCCATCGAATCCGACGAGAGGGAACGGTCCCGGTGAGGTCTATCCAGAGAATCCTGGGGCATATGGCTGCCTCAGTTGCCATAGTTCCACATGCCAGGCTTCGGCTTCGCCCACTGCAACTCTTTTTCAACAAGGTGTACCATCCTCAAAGAGATCCGCAGTCGAGACTGATTCGGATCCCAACTTCCGTGCTTCGCTCTCTGCGTTGGTGGTTGGAACAGACCAATCTTACGATAGGAGTCCCCTTCAGGGCGTGACCTCCTACGATTACCCTTGGCACCGACGCGTCTCTTCAAGGATGGGGAGCGATATGCTCCGGCCTCTCTACCCAGGGTATGTGGAATCGTCTAGAATCCACGAATCATATCAACTTCCTAGAACTACTGGCAGTTTTCAAAGCCCTGTGCTCTTTTGAGGACATCCTTCATCATCAGATCGTTCAGATAACTTCGGACAATATAGCTACCGTCTTTTATCTGAACAAGCAAGGGGGAACAAAGTCACCGACTCTAGCCAGGCTTTCTATGAAAATTTGGGACTGGTGCATCCAGAGACACATCACACTGATGGCTGTTCATCTAGCTGGTGTAGACAATGTGCAGGCGGATCTTCTCAGCAGGCACATGTTCACCTCTCACGAGTGGGAACTGGATCCCCATACGCACAACCACCTTTTCCCTGGGGGTTTCCCGACGTGAACTTATTTGCTACCCAACAGAACAGGGTGTGCGAGGCTTACTGTTCGAGAGCGGGAATCGGACATGCATCCCTAGGGGACGCATTCATGATCCCTTGGAACAATATGAACTTCTACGCCTTCCCTCCGATCCCTCTTCTGATGAGGGTCATAGCAAAGACAGTGCATGACCGAGCATTGGGGATACTAGTTGCCCCTTGGTGGCCACATCAAGCATGGTTTGCGAAACTACTCGACATCTCTCACGGGGAATTTCTTCATCTTCCATTGCTCCCATATCTTATAACACAGGTGGACGGCGCACTTCGCCACCCAGATTTGCTCTCATTGAACCTAACAGCATGGCGAATTCGATGACTGACGTGCCATTGGTGCCGATGACGGTTTCGAAAGTTACGAATCTGACAGCTTCTACTAATCTGTCGGTACCGACGATGACTTCGACCACCTCGGATCCGATTGTCGAACCCAATCACTCGGGTGCTTCCCCCCTCTCTGGTCTCTCTGTACTATCCAGTTCGAGACAAGACCTGTCGAATCCGAATCCGACATTTTTGCACGCTGATATTCAGCATATCATCGACTCTGCCTTAAAGCCGTCCACAAGGAAGTCATATAAGGCTAACGGCTATAATGGAAACGTTTTTCCGCCTTTGTCGAGTCACGCTCGTTCTCTCCATTCCTCTCATCCATTCAACAGATTCTTCAGTTCCTCCTGGAATTGCACGATTCCGGACTGAAGCCGCCGTCCATTAAAGTGTATATAGCCGCAATAGCCTACTATCGTGGCTTAGTCAATGGATCACCTCTGTTTTCTCATCCTATCCTCAAAAGATTTTTGAAGGGACTATATAATCTTAACCCATCAATTAGACCGGTTATGCCCACATGGAGCCTCTCTGTAGTTCTACAGGCCCTTATGAAGGCCCCCTTCGAACCTTTGGCGATGGTGGATCTTCAATTGGTCTCTTGGAAGACGGCGTTTCTTGTAGCTGTCACTTCAGCCCAGAGGGCCAGTGAACTTTGCGCGCTTTGCATAAACCCTCCTTATTTAAACTTTCACAGGGAGAAGGTCGTTTTACGCCTCGACCCGTCTTTTTTGCCTAAAGTGTCTACACCTTTCCATAAGGGACAAGACATTGTGCTGCCTGCCTTTTTTCTGTCACCGTCGACTCCATTGGAAAGATCTTTGCATTCACTCAATGTTTGCTGTTGCTTAGCCTTCTACCGATCGCGAACGGAGTCTATTCGACGATCCAATAAACTATTCATCAAATATTCTGCTAGGGATCAGGGCGATCCAGTCACTCCGCAGAGACTTTCTAAGTGGATAGTCCACACTATAGTCTTATGCTATCAATTAGCTAAGCTCGAACTGCCTTCAGTTCCTCGAGGCCATTCTGCTAGAGCTGTTGCAACCTCATCTGCATTCGCATTCGGGGTTCCGATTGATGACATCTGCCGAGCCGCTACTTGGGCGAACCCTTGCACCTTCGCCAGGCACTACCGTCTCGATGTTTGAGCTCGACAGGATTGCTCCTTTGGTAGAGCTGTTCTCTCCTCCGTTCTTCAATGAGGACACCTTCCCTCCTCCTTTATGGCAAGCTTGTTAATCTACCCATATGTGTGATGCACAGAGGCCACGACGAAGAAAAGCAGGTTGCTTACCTGTAACTGATGTTCTTCCAGTGGCCATCTGTGCAATCACACAACCCACCCGCCGGCCCCACTCGGTGTCGGTGAGTGGATGCATCGACCGCTCGGTGTCGGTGAGTGAATGCATCTTTTGGTACCAACTATGCCCTTTTTCACGGTACTGACATTAAAAAAAACAAAAACAAAAAACAAAACAAAAAAACCCAAAGTTTTTTCAATAAGATAGCATATGTTCGGTCGCAAAGACTGAACAAAATGGTGGACGCTCCACTCTTTACAGGCCACAGGGGGAGGGGAAGGGGGAGCGGAGCTTCCCGCCAAAAACTGTAAGCTGTCAATCTTCCGGCCACAGGCACTGCGCAGGCGCAGTACCCATATGTGTGACTGCACAGATGGCCACTCGAAGAACATCAGTTACAGGTAAGCAACCTACTTATCCTGTTCCTCAGCCTTAGTTCCTGGAGTAGTTTGCTACAACATTAATAACATAAGGCCAATAACATTAAAGAAACTTTATAGAAAGGCAGCAGAAAATTAAAAAGGAGTCCAAAAGCCACAATATCAAAGAACCATAGAATGCAACAGCAGCACCAAACACTCAACATTTAAAAAGTGCCAGATCCAATCACAGCATACTGAAAAGATCTTCAACTTCCATTAAACACTTTGATAATTGCTAGTGTTTTTAACTTGCTCTCAGAGGCCATTGAAGAAGGTGCTGAGCAAATGCTTGATCGAAGGAAGACATTTCACAGCTGAAATGTGAGAAATAAGAAGGCCCTGCTTTTGTTGTGGAAACAATTCTGGGCAGAGCCTCTGATGAACTTAATAACTGACTAGATCTCAGGCTTTTTAGGTCAACACCTAAATTAGGTTGAATTATGCCTGGAAAAAAACTGGAAGCCAGTGATTTGCATTTAAGGAATTGGTAAGAGGTGTGTCCTCCTCTTTCCCCAACCTCACCATGGTTGACACCACTCATAATCTTGCCACAGTGCAGTTTCCAAACGGCTTTCAAGAACAGCTCCCCCTACAACACATGGCAGGAACTGGATGTGCAAGCTATGCAAATAAAGGAAGAGGTTTGCTCAGTCATTGTGAATCTCGGGGGCAGGGGGGAGGGTTCCCCATTTTCCTGAAATGTGTGAAGAATTTGTCTTTAAGTCTTTGTTTGTTTTTAGATTCCAATAGTGGCTGTGACAACTACAGCAGGTGGAATAAGATCAGTGATTGGCATGTATGGTAGTCTCTTAGCTCTCAAGAAGCTGAATCTCTTAGATTGTGTTTCGTACATCACTAGTTTATCTGGCACCACATGGTAAGGAGAACATGCTGGCATGAGCAGAAGCTTTGCGTCTAAGTCTTCTTAAGGAGTGGGGTGGGGTGGAGATTTTTGTTAGGGTTATGACTGAGGAGGGAAGGGGCGGTCAAATTTAGAGTGGGGAGTGGGCATCGGAGTGGGGTTTGGGAGTGAAAATCCAATGGGTTTTCTTGATTCACTTCCAGGTCCCCCATTCTGGTTTGCCGGCCCTGTGCTGCTGCCAACTCACTGCACTGTACAATGACCAGCTTGTGGGCTTCCATCTCTAAGATGGGCTGTGATTTACCCAGCAAAAATTGCTAAGGAGAATTGCACAACTTGTGCAATTTACACAAGTTGGAAACCAGATACCTAATTATTCTAGTGTAATCTGCACTAATCACACTAGAGCGATACAGTTTTGGGCTTCCAGGTTGAAATCGTTGGATTGGAAGTGGGCAGAAAATAAGTGAAATTGAAACAAGCCAGATTTTCCAGCATTGGCACAGCTGTAGTGAAGTTTCGCCCACATGATCCAGATGAAAAGCACTTTTCATGCCTCTGACTAAAGAAATCCTAATGACAAATTCCTAATTTATTATTTATTTATTTAAAACTTTTCTATTCCATCTCTAATGGTAAATCAGGCATCACAGATTGTTTAGTCTTTAATATGACACCCAAAACTGAGCAAGGCAGAATGTATTTACCTTTTAAGCAGCTAATGAGAAGGGCTTGAAAAAGGAACCATTCCTTTTGCCATCGATATGGATAGCTCCAGCCTTTCTCCCGCTATTTGCCTTTCATCATTAGGAACTCCAGTTTAAAAAAATGTTAATATGAATTTGTGCCTTCTTATGTGTGCAATTTAAAGTATATGCCCACAACTACATCCTGCATCAAAATTATTAATGAGCAGCTTCCAGCAGCTTTTAGTAGGATTAGGAGAAAAGAAATAACTAATGGAGTCTACATTTATGGGGAACAGTGCTCGTTAATGGGAACAAATTGGAAAAAAATGCATTAAGTTTGCTAATATGATCATTTACAACCTTTATGATTTTTCGTCTTATTGGTGTGAGAACACCACATGTTGCTTGGGAACATTTAGCAACTTTTAAATGTATTAAGAATCTGAACTGGTATTTTGTCTCTGTCTCTCTCTCTCTTTCTGGAATAGTCTTAACTGAAATTGGCATCAGATTTACCAACTCCTTTGAGGCAAGAAAAGAATAATAAAGAATTCTGCTGATTTCTTTTATGTTAAAGTGGCGTAGAAATTTATTCTGCAATGTGGAGAGCATAATTTTCACCTTAGATTTTTGAACAGACACAGATATATAATAAAACTCTTGTGGCTACTTTATTTATTTATTTAAAATATTTGTACCCCATCTAATATAAAAATCGTCCCAGGACGGCTTACAAGAATTATAACAATCAATAAACAAAGCAACCAGTAACAACAAATACCAACGTATCTAATACCAACAAAAACAAAATGTGACTGTATTAAAAACCAATTAAAATTCCTAAGCCTTAAAATAGTGGGTAAATAAAACAGTTTTCACCAGGCGCCAAAAGGAATATAAAGTTGGCGCCAAGCAAACCTATCTGGGGAGCACATTCCAGAGTCTGGGTGCCACCACAGAGAAGGCCCTCTCCGGGTAGAGACCTTCTTTACCTCCTTCAGGGAGGGTTCCCGGAGCAGAGCCTCTCCTACAGATCTTAGTGGGTGCAAGGGCATATAGGGAAGGAGACGTTCCGTCAGGTATCCTGGTCCCAAGGTGTACTTGGCAGGACATAACTGGCTTATTATGCAGCTGTAAGAACATGGGAATACATTGGCAATTGTAAGTGGCTGTCTGTATTTGCTTAAGTTACTGTCTGAGTCAAACTTAAATTTTAGACTCTAAAATTCCTTTCCCCAGGACTATGACACATTTATATGAAGATGCAAATTGGTCACAGAAGGATATGGAAGGACACATCAGTTATGCTCGTAAACATGCTATGAAAAATAAGCTGACCTGTTTTTCTGGGGAGCGCTTAAAATACTATGAAAAGGAAATAAAACAGAGGCATCTTGAGGGCCACAAGGTCTCTTTTGCAGATTTCTGGGGTCTCCTTGTTGAATCCATGTTTCATGATGAGGTACTGTACTGGCATTTTTTTCCTTATGAAACATAATGTAATCCTGTTTGTAGAATAAAGTATACCCTGAGACAGGGAAAAAGGGTGTTTGCCACAGTTTCTTTAAATTACATTGGAATGGAAACAAACAGCTAAAACAGTATTTTTCATTTATTCACCAGTGTCTCACCTTTCTTTTAAGCAGTTTACAGCAGAATTACACTTTCCTTTAGCCTGTATGATAAGGCTGATAGTCATGTGCCCAAGACCACCCAAAGAGCATCATAGCTGAGCATGGACTTGAACCTCTATCCCATCATACTAACATGCCACTTTAGCCTCAGTACCATACTAATTTGATGGATGAACCAGCCCACCAACATCTCCGGAGCCAGAGAAGAAAGGTTTTTTAAAAGTTTTTCCAAAAGGTGCTCATGCTTGGCAATCTTGATAGGGAGAAAAAGTCATATATTTCTGGTTGGTTAATGAAAACATCTCTGTACAAGGTCTTGTTATGAAAAATATGTATGCAATACTTCAGTTAATGCAGAAAATATTTGGCCTTATAAAGAGAGAATGGAACTGATGCTTGGGCTGCCCTAATACATGTAGGCCCCTCTGATAGCATCCAGTTCATATGAACCTGCCTGGACCATAAGTTCAGCCAAGGAGACCCTGCTCAGACCCACTGTTAAGGGCACAGAGGTTTCAGACATAGGTGACAGGGCCTTTTCAGTTGTGGCCTCACATTTGAGGAACTCCTTCCCAGTGGAGGTATAACTTGCTTCTATATTTACTTGTCATGGGTTTTAAAGATTTTAAAAAATTGTTTGGTCTGCCTTTGTTCAAAATCAATGGACTGCTCTCTCCTTTAAATTGCAATATTTAAAAACATGTACCAGACTAGAAATATTGCTGTTTTTAGTTTATCAATTTTAATGTATTGATTTTATAATGTTTTTATGACATTGATTGCCTTTTGAAAACCTCCCTTTGGAAAACCAACATGTAAATTCACCAGTAAGTGAATAATTTAATGGAGGGGAAGCACAAATTATAAGTTCAAGAATAACAACAATAACTGTCAGTCTAACTTAGGAAATAATTTTAAATATAGCTCAAGTAAAGTCATGGCTCTTAGGCATATTGGATTCATATAATTTTGAGAATTTAAAGTCAAGCCTATATCTTGTATTTTGGCATGAGACAACAGGAAGTCAATATAAAGAGAGGAAGTTAGTGCAAATGCTGGGACATTCGGAGTGTTCCACCACCACCAGGCAGTGGGTCTTCTTATACTGTGCCTGTCAAATAGTAATAGGAAGCTGCATCTTCCTTTTATGGAAGCAAGCAAGCATCAATAGTATCTCTTGCAACATATCAGTTGAAACTTCTAGGTGATCATTGTGTGGTACTGCATGTGAGTAAAAAATCATCCACACAAGATATGCGTACTGGGGTGACTAAGTATAAATGTGGTAAGAGAACACAATCACAGTAGGGAGCTCCTTAATCTTGATTAACAGGGATTTGTGGCAGTCTTCCAAGGAGACATATAATTCGACATCAACTATACTTGTGTTTGTCTGAATTTTGGATTATCTGTGCATTTTTGCCAATCTCTTAGACAATTCCATTTCTTAGTACAATAAAAGGAATTGCACAATATCTTATACAGATTTTGCCAATATTTTCTTTTTATTAAAAGTAATAAAACAATGCTGTCAAAAGTTAAAAACAATGATGCAATATGTTTTATTGAAAGATTAAAAATGCATTTATCTACCATAGAACTCTCACTGAAATGTACTTTCCCACAGCAGGACAATGTGAGATATTTCTGAACATATAAAAATGAGTCTGCTTTGCAAATAATCGTTTGGCCGAATCTGGACCAGCTAGTAACCAAGGGTCAATGATAGAACCAGGAGTCCAAGTAGATGATGGGTTATGTGTAAAGCATCTTCCTGAGTCTTCTGTTAACTGTTGCTCTTCTCTTAATAGCCAGATCCCCACAAGCTCTCAGATCAACGGCAGGCAGTGAATCTGGGTCAGAACCCTCTCCCCATCTACCTTGCTCTTAACCTCAGAGAAAGATACAGCACTCTAGATTTTAAAGGTAAAGTCAAGTCTTCAAAGACACAGGTGATATGACTTTATGGCTCGGTTCTAGATGGGCCAGGAGGAGACTCATGTTCTCTGCAAATACATGCTCAACCTCTCGTGAGATGAAAAATTGCAGAGGGGCAAAGAACAGGTAGGTAGATGGATAGAAACCCTATTCACAGATTCTGGCGTACATTTCAGCATTCTGGTTTATGTGTAAAGCCTCCATAGACCCAGAAGCCTCTTCTCTTTAGACAGTGACCTTCTGTGAATATAACAGAGAAAGCAAGGGGGACAGATGCAACCAGAGAGCAGGCTGGGACAGGGTCTGTTCTCCTCCTCACACTTTGCCCAGTCAGGTTCCAGAAGTCTACAGAGAAAAAAGACATCTATTTGTGGCTGACTGGCTGGATAGGTAAGACTGATTAATATATCAGAGAGAGAGAGAGAGAGAGAGAGAGAGAGAGAGAGAGAGAGAGAGAGAATATTTGTATAAATTTTTCAAGATCAGAAATTTGTTCTAACTTCTTGGCTCTTATCAAATAAGCAAGTAATAACTGCACCCACTGTGATATAATTTGACTGAGAAAGGTGCTGAATCAATTATTTGCTTAAGTCAAGTTTAGTTTATTACGTGCCTAAAACCAATTCTTGTCATCAAAGAATAAAATAAATAGCATCTGATCAATATTTATGCAGAGTCTGAAAATAACATAAAAATAGAATTTTCATCTGTAACAACCTGTGTTGATTGCCCTCTTTCTACAAGAATCATCCTTGTAGAAACTGTTTGAACTGAAATTTTGAACTGAATTTGCTGGAATTGAATTGAATTTTCTTGACGCTCTGGTAACCTCAAGCATTGCTTGCTACATGAATTGCCCTCATTGCACAAACAGTTTCCATTCCAGCATTAACAGAAGCAGATTTGCTAGGAGCAGCATCTCTGTATAAAGAGGATGATTCACACAGTACTGTTATGTCTGCTGCACAGTCAGACTCTGTGAGGTTCTCATGATGGGCATGCCGGACTAATGTGGAATACTCTGACATGATAAAGTGTTATCCTCACTGGCAGGTTGAATGTGGCTTCATTGCCATTTTCCTCAGCTGTAAAATGGTCACATTTTCTAGGCAAGTAACCATGATTTTCATATGGTCATTTGCAGAGTGGGTGGAATTCACACCCTACGAAGTTGGCTTCTTGAAATATGGAGGTTTCATTAATGCAGAAGATTTCGGAAGTGAGTTCTTTATGGGTCGCTTGATGAAGAAGATCCCAGAATCTCGGCTCTGTTTCATGCAAGGTGGCTGATCTAAACATACAACCAAAAGTCAGTATTATTTTAGTTGCATGCAAGTTGAAATTACCTCCTGATACCGAGATGGTAAGAAAGTCACTACACTTCCAACATTCATGCATTTGTGATAGTAGTGAGGAGAACAAGGTAAACTTCTTTTTACCATGATTTGAATTTGAAAGTGATAATTAAAAAAGGAGTACAACACTCTGAGTACAATGTGATTGGATATTACAGTAACACTGTTTTTAGAGGCTTAGGAAATCCAATATTAAATGTGTCTTCATTGATTTTTGTTGAATTTTTTAAATGCTTGCCAGGCATGTGGAGCAACATCTTTTCCCTGAATGTGCTGGATGCCTTATATTTCGCAGACTGTTCAGAGGACTTCTGGCACAGATGGACAAGAGACAGAGTGGTTGATATTGGTCAGTAGAGTGTTGTTTCTCCTTTAGTTAATCAACTTTGAATTGATTCACCTTTGCTAAGAATTCTGGAGGTGATTTGCATCCAGGCTAATTCGCTTGAAATGGATGCTTGTGAACCTGTAAATCTGCCATATCCATTTCTTCAATATCATCGATTCCTGACTGGCCATCACTTACCTTCAGTCTCTTCCCGCCTACCTTACTGAATAGAGATAGTAAGCCCTGTCAGTTTGATGCTCTGTGTACAGCAGGCTGCATAGTGCTAGAAATAAATGCTCAGGAAGAATATTAATTATATACAAATGGATGATTAGACACCCCACCTCTGCAGAAAGATTTATGAGCATATAGGCTGGGGTGGGCAATGTGCAGGCCATGGACCACATGAGACTCCTCTGGTTTTTTGTTTTTTTTTGTATGTGTGTTGGGTCCTGTGATGCTGGCTTCCCATTGCTTTTTCTGGAAAACAAGTTGCTCAAGAAGGGCATGCCTTTTATCCCAGTTTAATTGTTCTCTTCTCAGCCTGCCAAACAGGGATTTGACAGGTGGGATGTATGGAGAGAGTGTGATGCGGCTGGGAAACTAGTTCCCCTTCACTTGTTTACCAGCAGATGTTAGAGATCCGGATGTGCAGACACATCCAGCCACAGCAGAGGAAGGGTACAGCCGCAGTGGGTTGAAGAGGAGAGGGGATACAGACTCCCCACAGCTCCCCAAGGTTTCCTACCATTGGTATCAGCTGATCCAGTTTTTCATGCTTAATTGATTCTGTGGGGAAATCCAGGTTTAAACATTGGTAAGAAACTGTTCTTATGGCAGACTTGGATGGATAAATTGGTTTTTTTAATGAGACTAGCCAGTTATACTGACAACAATGCATGTTTATAAATACTTATTATTGGTGAGTAAATATGATACACTGGAATAGAAGAGGAAACTGGATAATCCCCTTTTGCCTCATTAAAAGACCATAGAAATGTGGTGAGAGTCCTGCAGGATCAGACCACAGGAAACCACAGGGTGTGAGTGCAGCAAATGGTGCACACAGACATAGGGATTTAACCCTTTTGATTCCTCATTTCATGTCCTTTTTACAACCTCCCTCATTTCACAAAGCATCCATTTTTGAAGTCAGATATGACTATGTTGAACCTCTTTAGCAATCTTCCTTCCTTTCCATCTGAAGGAACTGTGGTCACAGTTTCTATCTGGTGCAACAATTTTTGCATATCATACTAGGTCCTGGACACCCACACCTAGGATTAAATCCAGGACCGCTTTTCCTCTGCTCAGTTCCATCACCTCCTGTGCCAGGGCATAGTCATTTAGGACACTGAGAAATTTAATCTGTTTGTCAGAACTTCAGCATGTGTTTATGCAAACAATGTGGGGTTACTTGAAGTCAGTCACTATTACAACACTTCCTTTTACTGAGGCCTCCCTGATTTCATTTTCCATCTTGAGATCACACTGAGTGTTCTGGTTTGGGAGATGATAGCATGTTCCTAGGACTATTTTTGGAGACCGGTATTGTCATTCACAATTCCCCCTTTGAACCCAATGCCCTCTTTGATGTACAGAGCAACATTTCCTTCAATATGCCTTCCAGTGCAATTCCTATGGAGTGTATAGGCAGAGATGACCGTATCTCACCGGTTCTCTTAATTCCATCATGTTTCCGGAACACCCACTATATCTAGGTTCATCTTTAAAAGCAGGCATTCCTGCTCTCCTAGTTTGCCTCAGAGGCCTCTAGCATTTACATAAAAGCACCTACATACAGTGTACCTCTCCAGATGCCTTTGGCATGTGCAACTGCTGTTTTGACACTTAGATTTATTTGACTAGTTATCATGTTTCACCATATTCTCATGGCCTATTTCCTCCCCTCTTACATCTGGGCAATGAGAAGCCTTTTCTTCTTTCTTCCCTCAGGATGATTCACCCAGATTGGATGCTTCCTATCCCCTGTTGGCTTTTCCCCATGGGGCAATTTAAAAAGATGTTCTGCCATATTTTTTATCTTTTGTGCCAGTAGTCTGGCTCCACTTTGGTTCACATGGAGTCTGTCTCTTTTGTACAGGCTCAGCTTTTCTCAAAATATTCCCCAGGGCCTAACAAATCAGAACGCCTCCTCCCTACATCACTGTTTCAACCATGCACCAAGTCCCCTCTCCTGTGCCTGTCTAGCTGGTCTTGCATGTAAAACAGGTAGAATTCCAGAAAAAGTCACCTAGGAGGTCCTGGACTTCAACATTCTACTTAGCAACCTGTATGGTCTCTAGGACCTCATGACATTTCTCTATGTCATAGGTACCGACATGGACCACAACCACAAACTCCATCCCCACACTATCTACAAACCTATATGGGTGGTGTGTGGCATCCACACTGGGCAGGCAATGTGTCATGTGCCCTACATACCCATCACAAACCCAGCAGCCAGTGACTGACTCTCCTACTACTGGAAGTCCCACTAGTACAAGAGAATGGATTGCTGTTTCAATGTTTGTAACTGAAGCATCTGTGGGTGTCAGGTTCTGCCACATTCAGTAAAACTCTTGCTCTGTGTCCATTGGATACCACAATCTCTCTTTAACAAGAGCTGGCTATTTGCTGGGTTTAACACAGCTAATGCTTCTTTTAACCATCTGTTTTGCCAATGCCCAACAGTAATGTAAAAGTCTATAATTCTTAGAAAGCAGATTTTTCATGGATGAGCACACATTTCATATGCAATGAAACTGATATATTCACATTTATGTAGCTTGCTTGCTCGCTCCTTCCTCCTTCCCTCCTGTCTCTCTTTCTTGTTTTGTTAAAATTCCTAGTGCAAAATGAATTGAGACACACCCACTGGTGTTCGTTGTTCTAAACATGCCTAAATTCCATTCAAATTATACTCATGGAGTATGTTCAATATTCCCTTGCTTTTGGTGAATTTTGGGTAACAGGAGGCATCAACTGCCAACCAATAGGCTGGGAAGTTGGATAGGCTGCAATGAAACACACCTTTTGTTTTCCTTATTGTGAGACTGAATGTTGGAATGTGGCTTGGAGGAAGCATGTTCCATGGCATGAATCCTCTGGGTCAACTTACTTTGCTCCCACCTGAGTCCCCCAAAAGGATTTGAAGGGTTTACTTTTAGTAGCACTGCAGTTTCCCCCCATAGCTACATGATGATTAATATTAATATCCAAGGACTATAGAAAAGGTACTGCTACACTGTTCTTTTTTTAAACAAATCCAGATTTTAACAGAACTGCAGCTTTTGTATTTAACCTTTTGAAATACCAATCATGCACTGCTGCACTTCAAAACTGTCTTTCATGACTGCTTTTAAAAAGAAATGTAAAAACTTGGACAAAGCAGCTAACTAAAGCCCTCTTATGTTTTGTAGATGATCTTCCACCAACCAGGCCTAAGAGGCCACATGCGCTGCCAACTAAGCTCTTCATTCCTAGCGGTTCCCTCACGGACACGCTTAGAGATATTATAACGCTGCGTCCAGTGCTTTCTCATTTTCACAATTTCATGAAAGGCCTCCAGCTCAATAACAAGTACTTGCAGAATGACAGGTTTTGTATCTGGAAAGGTAATACACTGAAATTTACACTAAGCACTCATTCTTCCAGATCTCTTTACTCCATCCCTTCTCTTAACATTTTCCAGAACGGTATCACAATTGTGTATGTTGGACACAACATATTTGGCTTTCAGCAGGGCTGGACTTGGCTGTTTGACCAATTTAGGAAGAAAGACAAAGTCAGTTTCTCGTATTAAGTTTACATTCTGTAAACCTCAAGTTACTGCCTCCGAATTGGTGAACCTCCACTTCTTCCTGGTCTGCTCTTGCTTCAGTTAATCAGCTTTTCCCCACACTAGTGGTTGGCAGGAGAGAAGTGCCTTCTGGATGTTGCCACATGTGAGGAGTAGGGAATCTATTGTCCAAAGATACCCACAGCTTGTTGCATTACACATTCGCTGCCTTATTCAGCACACCCCCTCCCCCACCTCCCAGGACTGAATGCTGGCTGCTTTGCAATATTTGATTGTAGTGTCCTAAGAATCTCATGGTTCTTGTGATTAGAAGAGCATCTGGTGAATGCTGAAAAGCTGCAGAAGAGTGGTGGGACTTAGTATGCTATCTCGTTGTGTATCAAGAACTTACATAGCTAGTTAAGTGTTTTCCTTTCCTTGCCCTTCCCTTTCCTGATCATTGTGTAAACAGAATTCATTACACTGCTTGTTGAATTGTTCCTCTTTTGAGATTTATGTTTTCCAAAAAAATTTCCTGTTTGTCCTTTGGGATGACATTAATTGGTGTCCTTCAACAGCAGGGGGTTGGACCTAACAACCTTTTTGACTCTTTCCAACTCTACTGTTCTATGATGTTATGATTTTGCAGGTATTGGGATGGCAAAGGGGAAAATGGTGAGGGAGGGAAAGGCATGGGTTTGGTTGGAAGGAATAATAGCAGAACAACCTCACTCCAATCATGGTGACTTTAGGTTCTTTGGTGTTATTTAAAAGAGGTACTGTGTTTAACTGACTCTTTCCCCTCGCCTCCAGCAGGCTATGAAGTTTTTCTAGCTCAGAGTTGTTAGGATATGGCATAAGTAGAATAATTTGGAACAGGAGAGACACAATCTTCCTTTAATATTTTGTTGCTTGAAGAATAAACTATGTTTGTAAAAGCTTTGTTATTGACTTGAAAATGGCCATATAAATAGCCCATGTCCATCAGAAGCACCCATATGGGAGACAGAGCATTGAAGGGGATTGAAATGTTAATGGCACTGGATTCTCAGCATCCTTCTCATGTTTATGATCTATGAGCTTCCTTTGCGACAGAACTGGGAACTGGCCCCTCTACATGGTATTGGAATCCAACTCCCAGCAGCCCCAACCAACCACCTCTGGAGGACCACAGGTTCCACACCCCTGCTTTTCAGTGTTGCACATGCAAATAAACCATTTGCTTTTCAGACACTGTACTGGACTCTACCCCCAATGAACTGAGTGATTCAGGGGAATACTTGGAACTTACAGACACTGCTTTCTTCATCAATACCAGCTGCCCTCCCCTTCTGAGGCCAGAAAGAAAAGTGGACATTATTTTGCATTTAAATTACAGTGGAGGATCACAGACATTGGTGAGGAGATTCTTTATCATCTTTAGCAGTTTGTCTGTCACCACTTGTCTTTTCATTAATTTTTCACTTCTAAATAAGAAAACAATCAAATTAATTTCTACTGTGATTCAGTATAGTTACATATGTCAAAATGCTGGCAATGGGTGTAATTCAAATACGACTGAGTTGTACATAGTACCACTTAGGGATTCCTATTTCTTTCCTTTCCCCCAAAATGTTGTTCCCAGCATTCCCACAGGAAGTGTGTGGAAAAAGATAGCCTTGCTTTCCGGTCCTGGCACTCTTTCTTGAGGAAGAGAGAGGAAAAGAAAGAGAAAAGTAGACTGTTGGGGATGACAGTGGCTGAATCTAGGTCATCATTAAATGTTTCCTCCTCCTTGTACAGATACAGATCTTATCCTGCCCTTATACCAGGATAAGAGATCTCATTCCCAAAGTATCCCTGGCTATTACAGTCCTCAGCACCCTTTTAGTGGAACTGCTCACCTTTGTAAAATCAAAGTCATTCTGATTTTGCTCCTGTTTGATGCTTTAGCCACTGGACTTAATCACGAAGTATTATGCAGATCAGGGCATCCCATTCCCCAAGGTTGTGCTGACTGAGGAAGACAGGAAGCATCTGAAGGAATGCTACCTCTTTGATGAAGGGGAGAGTCCAAAAGCTCCCATCTTGTTGTACTTTCCCCTTGTATGTGACACCTTCCAAAAGTACAAAGCACCAGGTAAGTTGAACATAGCAGTCTTCTACCTGCACATGGGAGGAGAACATGGCCTCTCTATCTGCTGATTTTCATTTCTGGATCCAGCAGAAAATCATATTTTAGTCCATGGTTGGAATTGAAAGAATGTGTTTGAGGGAGAGTGAGAGTGAGATTGAGAGTGAGAAAGTGAGTGAGCTGCATGCACATCCAGACCCTTCTTTGCCATTTTGGTAATGGTAGTCACTGTTGCCAAAGAGGTAAGCCACTGCTCAGTTTTAGAAGTAAGTTGTCTCTTTAGCAGAGGCAAGTGCTGCAGCAGTACCAGGAAATGCATATGGGCTTTGTGTGGTGCCATGAACCTCATCTATATAGATCTTTGAATACTGGATCCTGAGTTCCGTTAGCAGAACCATGATTTTCTCTCCAAAGGCACATCTGGACATGCTTAGGTCTTTTCTCCCTATACAAGGCATACGCAACCCAATGGCTATTGTTAGGCCATATAGAGGGTCAAATGACATTTGAATTCAAAATATAAGTGATTAGGCACAAATTTCCCTCCCTAAACTGTTTTTCACTGGGCAAATAAAATGAGAATCTTTTTATTCTTTATCTTTTTATTACTGTAGTGGCTAAGCCATAAAATCTGCTAGATTCCTTCTTTTGCCTTTGTTTCTATAGGTGTGAAGCGGAGTCCTAGTGAGATGGAAGAAGGCCAAGTTGATATTAGCAGTCTTCCATATGCTAATAGCATGGTGCAATACTCAGAGAAAAATTTCAACAAGCTGCTGAATTTGACCAGCTACAATATTCTCAACAATGAACATTTGATTCTTCAGGCTTTGCGTACAGCAATAGTACGAAAGAAGTGGCAGAAGAAACGCTCTCTATACTCCTTTTAACCCTCAAAATGTACTTTCCCTGTTTTCATACTCAGGAAACTATCAGGGTCAGTATTTCATGCATGAGAAGTAATTAGTATACCTTGCTATTTATATACCCCAAATGAGCAAAAGTGCCTTCAAATATTCACTTTCACACAGCACAGCAGGGGGCAGATCAGTTGCCAGCTCAGAGACATAGTGCCCAACACCAAGTGGGGTTGGAACATGTTCTTTGGGTCCAGTCCAGCACTACAAAGGCACTGCAGGGCTGAATTATATTGACTCAGCAGCTGAAGTTGTTTAGTGGCAAAAGCTTCAGAGCTTAGCTTAGAAAAGTATACTCATCACTTGAAGATGAACCTTTCAGGTGATGACAGGCGTATATGATGTGACCATCACTGAACATACACCACAGAACAGAGCTTTCTCGGGACCTTGATTTATCCAAATGCCTTTCAATGGAGAAAATTCAATTTCACCAGTTTATCTGTGATTCATTGACTGAGATTGGTGTGTCCTTGAGCAATGTATATACACACTGAATGTTTAATGACCTCCAGAGGAGTGATTTTGGCTCTCAGTAATCTAAACTGTCATGGACTGATGAGCCTGCATGTGTGATTCTGCCTTCCCTGTGGGCTACATAGCTTGTGACAAAGAACTTCAGAACAAGCAAGGCTTGTGGTAGTCTAGGTGTCATGGCTAAGACTGCTATTCATACACTCTCAAAAGGAACATGTATTTTGAATAGCTTTATACTTCAGAGAAGCCTGGCAGATGTGGGCAAAGCTGTCATTGCAGCAACAATGCACCCAGTTAATACCATGCAGCTGCAAGGAGGGGATTCACTTTTTTCCTTTTTATAGATACACTTTCTTTTGTTGGTTCTTCTGTAATATACAATGAAGCAAATTTTTAAAACCAACCGACCTTCCTGACCAAAGGAATAGTTCAGATTTCACCAATCTAGTACCTTGTGTGTTCAGCTCCCATCAGCCCCTTAGCAATGAGGTCAATAGTCAGGAATTCTGCGAGTTGGGGCTTAAAATATCTGTTGCACATCAGGCTGCCAAAGGCTGGAAAGGATGCTGGTCTGCAAATCTAGGACCAGTGGCATTATATAGGGGTGAGGTGTGATTCAACAACTTTCCAGCAAGTACTTCTCAATCTGAAACTGAGGCAATGTGTCTTATATGCAGGATTACTTTGTTAATTTGTTATCTGATTGTTTTGCACTGACTTTGTAAAATTGCTGTCATACATGTTTTCCTTCTAGTGGCTGTGATACAATAAATAACTTTTTTTAGACTCTTACTCTTAAATTAATTTCAGTTATATTTTGGTCTCCATGAAATCTGAGCATTTAGAGGATGAGGGAGAATCACTTGCAAATCCATATAGGCATTATGCAAATTTCTGCTTATAGAAAAGCAAGATCAGCAGAGGAAACAGAACAGCAATTACAGGAAAGTAAAGAACTTTAATCCCATGGGCCAAGGCTGGCTCGCCTAGGTTCCTGATATGATGAACATCCCTTCCCCATTTCCCCATCTAATCATTTGGCAGTTTCCTCGTGTTCGCACAGGTTTTCTTATGGCCTATTCTGAAAGATTGCATTACTTTTCATAAGTAACAAGAGAGCCTTAAAAATAGGAGGTTTATGCTAAAACATGCTGATATTTCTGGAATTTTTTCCCCAGTCCCATATACCCGCTCCCTATTGGAATGTGGGTGGGCCAACCACTTACTATGCCCTTTTAAAAACATTCTAGGATTTTTGGAGAGAGAGAAAGATGGTGCTGCTGACTTCCATTCACAGTCTTTATTTATTTGTTAATTGTATTTTTATCCTGCCTTTTTTCCTGTAAAGTATGCAAGTTTACATAATCTTCCCCTCCTCCATGTTATCTTCACAGCAACCCTGTGAGGTAGGCTGGGCTGAGAGACAATGACTGGCCCAAAAGCATCTAGTGAGCTTCATGGCTGAGAGGGAACGAGAACCCTGCCTGCATAGCTATACATCAAGCTAACATGTTGAGTCACCTCTGCTAAGCTGGAAAGTTGTGGGCATACAGCTGGATGGGTGACACATGTGGAAGCAGAGCAGGAGGTTGGACTTGGGGGCCCCTTCCAACTCTAATTACTATTCCATTCATTCTATTCTTAAACCAGTTCTCCAGAAACCCCTTGTAACCCAATAAGCACTGCACCAGACCACTGTAAATCCCGTCTAATTTTAAACAATTAAATCAAACAAGTGAAGCTTTTCTGGCTCTTGCTAGCACAGATTATGTAGCAAGATGACTCTATCTGGATAGGTGACATTGAGGTGGCTGGGAAGGCGGTACTGTGGGTGGGAGTTGGCAAATACAGCTTTGTAGCATTCAATTACATCAGCAATTAAAATGGGGCAATAAGAGGCATCATTTCTATGGAGTGTTGCAGCAACAGCCTGCCCACAGTCACACGCTTCCTCATCTGCATGAGACACCAACACCTCCATAGCTGGTTGTCCAAAGGGAGAAAATGTACGATTAATGAGCTTGGCTCATGATCATCCCTTTTCTAGGCATGCCAACTGACTGAAATTAGAAACTGATTGCTAATCTCACATGGATCAATTGTCCCAAGAAAGAAAGGAAAGGGAAGCTACAGTGGTACCTTGGCTCATGGACTTAATCTGTTCCAGGACTCTGGTCGTGACCCAAATTGGTTGTGAACCAAGTCAAATTTCCCCATAAGGTTCAATGTAAATAAGGTTAATCCATTCTATAGCCCGTTTTTTATCACAAAAATTTGAAACAAAGTGACAAAGAACAACAAAGTAACAAAGTATTGTACAGTATAGTAGAGAATACTAACCTAGGTGGGGGAAGAGCTTATTGTTTGGAGAGAGAGTACTAATGATAATCATGAGATAGTGACCGTGCTGGGGGAGGTGAGAGATGGCTGCGATCGCAATCGTGCTTGTGCAGGGAAGACGGGCGTGATCGCAGCCATCTCCCTCCCCACAAGCATGACTGCGATCGCGCCCGTCTTCCCTGCACGAGCACGACCCTGATCGTGGCCCCCCCAGCCCCCCCCCCCGCTGAGCACGATCATGCAGGGAAGACAGGTGTGATTGCAGTCGTGGTCACTACACACTTTTGCATTTGCCAGTAGGAGCCGAACGTAACATTCAAATGGCTGCTCTGATGGGAATTCATCTCTTTCAGTGCAACAGACGTGCCTGTACCTTTCAGCTCATGGTCTCCTCTCAAATTTGGAGACCTTCTCAGGCCACATTCCTGTGGTGGGCAGAGCTGAAGGCAAATGGGTGAGGCCCAACACTCCAGCATATTTTAAGCTTAAAGTTCTTACTACCAGTAACTAACCCACAGGAAGGAATGTTTCAAACACTTAGAATCAGAACAGCAACACAAAACTGCAAAGGCCAGGATCTTACCAAATGATCAGCAATTGGGGAAATATGGTGGGGCTGGGGTTGGAGGCATGGCCCTCACAGGAATCATCTTACCACATGGCCTGTTCTATTTGGACTCTCTGAAAATTAAGCTTAAAAAACAAGCCTGCTTGCTTTCTGTGAAATATCTCCATACAATCTCTGAAAACCTTGGTCTAGGAAAAAACTATTTTTTGGCCTTCTGCTCAGCCCCTGCCTTGAGTATAAGCAAGCAGCAAGAAAGGCAGTCCATTACTGTGCAGAGTGTGGTTTCAGTCATCGCAACAACTTCTATCTTCATTTTCTTCTGAACCGGGATGGGCATATCAACCCATTTTGCTTTTGCCCAGTTTCTTATTTTCCTGACTGCAATTTTGTTTCAGCCTTTTCTGTACTGGATTTCAGATTCTGGAAAAACTGGCATGGAAATGGTCTCCTGGGATATGAAATCCTTCCTAGCACAGAAATGCCCAGAAGTATTTTTGGGTGCCATTGCAGTTTAACAATTTACAAGTGAGATGTCAAATCATCAGGTTGCTACTGAACCATCTTGTACGCTTGATGGGTGCTGGAAGAACTGCTGACCTTAGGATCTTCTACAAGTCTAGCTTTCCTCACAAAATTATAGTTTCTGGGCTCTCAGAAGAAGGGAGGTCTATGAACCCCATTTAAATTCAATTACCTGCTTCATTCCCTGCCAGTAAATAATGAAATTATCATATTGCTACTAGAAGATGGACCCAGCTATTAGTAAGCAGTCTGCTTCTCTCTATAAGTTAATGATAGACCAAAATATTCAACCCAGGTTCTTTTTTCAATTCGGACTTGGGGAAAAACAATGATTGAATTTTGAAATAATACACGGAGAACTATGCCAATGCATTGGAATAATTTTTGGAAACTTGTGAAATTGTGTATTTGGGGTGGGGGGGGGTGGAACAGGATAATGGCTTTCCATTCCATCTCCCAATTAAAAGCATTTCCCAGTTCAAATGGAAGCAGAGAAGCCCAGCAATATTTCACCTTCATTTTGAACACAATGATGCTATATAATGCCCGGCTGTTGTTTTACTTCTTGAAGAAGCAAACGTTCTTTTTTTCCCCTATCTTATATGGCAGACTGGTAAGTCACCTTGTGAAAAAAATACACCATCCTGGAAAGTAAAAAATCTCCCCAATTTTGCAGGCAGGCAAATAGATCTGTGGAAGTTGTCTGTTTATGTTTGGTTTATGATTCCACATTTTAAGGTTTAAGGTTTCATAGGCCTATCAGTAAAGGAAATGCATGGAAATGTATGTGAGCTAAAATGTGGCAGAATTTAATTCAGCTTACATTGTTAAGCAAACTGACATAATTTGCACGTCCCAGATAAATTTGCAGGTGGACATGCAGCTGTCCTTTAGAGCCTCCTCCAAATGTTAGTTCTTGGTTTCAAAATATGTACAGAAATGCTTATTTTGGAGAAACATGCATACAGTTTAAATGCATGTCTAACAGTAAATTGCAGAAGACAGAATGGAACAAAGTTATGATTCCACATATCTGGAACTGATATGCACTTAGAAATGAATGGCTTCATCCATTCCTAGCTGTGGGTTAGTAACCAGTTTTCATGCCACAATGTTTTTTTAATAATCAGAATAATTTTGTCAAGCTTTTATTTCATAAATAGACAAAATGGGGTTTATTGCATGGACAGTCATGCTTCTTCCTTGGGGTGGCTTGGTTATTCCTGACACTTTTATGTCACCTTTGTAGTTCAGGTGGTGATATTCATATTTGATGATTGAAGATATGCTAAATTATAATAAATATGTTATTAATAAATTAATTAATTTATTTAGAAAATTTGTAGGCCATCCATCACCGTCATCTCTGGATGGCTTACAACATTATTTCAAATCCTAAATATAATAAATCAACTCATCCACAACTGAGCATAGAAACATAGAAACAGAGCGAGTCAGAAGGGGCCTCCCGGGCCATCCAGTCTGACCTCCAGCACCAGCCGGCACCGCTCACGACATGCCCACCATGTGGACGTTCAGCCTATCCTTGAACACCCGCACCGATGGGGCCTCAATGACCTCTCGTGGAAGCCCATTCCACACCCTCGGGGTCCTGACTGTCAGGAAGTGCTTCCTGGCATCCAAACGGAACCTTGGCTCCCTGAGCTTTGCTCTGTTGGAGCACGTTCTGCCTTCCTCTGCAGGGGAGAACAGGTCTCTATAAAACTAATCTATTAAAATGAATTAAAAAAATCTAATACAATTAAAATTACTTTATGTTAAAATATTGGTCAAATAAAAAGGTCTTGACCTTTTAAGATTTTGGATTAATCCTTTCCCAATTTGTCCCAGAGCAAGGCACCTGAAAGGAAGTTGCACTGTAGCAAAAGGGTCCTATTTCCAAGTAAATAGCATTTGTGTCTTCAGATGAGAAATGCACAGTTGGGTGAGCCTCTGAAGCAGGCAGCAGAAATAAATAAAGTTGGAGGTGAAAAGTGCCCCAAGCAGTTTATTTAAATACACCTGTAATTTCTTTCTTGGATAAGAAAGATGTTTAGCTGGTTCGCCTACCTGTTCTGAATTGTTACTTTTTACAGTGCTGCAGAAGCTGGAATCTGAAGGTCTAAAATTACGCTAAGCAATGAATGTATAAATAGATAGAAGGAACCACAAGGGGCTTAAGAATAAAATAGGAGGTTAAACTATGGAGAAAGGTGCGGAATAACAAAATTAGGCAGTAATTCTATGTCTATGTATCTGGGAGGGAATAAAAGTGAACTCAATGAAACTTACTTCTGAGCTGACATGCATAGGATTGCACTGTTAGTAATGGAAAATATCTAGGGATCAGCTTTCCCCAGCTGTTTCTGGACTCTCATAATCTCCCTCCAGTGTACAATTCTATACATGTCTCCTTGTAAATAAATAAATCCCATTTTTAAGTCGTGCTTACTTCCCTGATAAATGTGTAACTTTAGGATGGAATTGTCACTGACTCTCTAAACATTCTGAAAGGGTGTCAAAATGTGTTTTCTATTTTTTAAAAAATTTCCATGTTCACCAGAAAAATATGAACTTCCATCCTGGACATCAGACAAAATATGTGCTCACAGTTATCAGATTGTGAGACAAAGATACTGATTTGGAGCAACCTAACAGAAATGGTCTTGGTACTGTCATCAAAGCTTTCAGGATTACTGGTCTTGCTCTCATTTTAAAATCACGTTACATGTGTTAATTGGCTTACCTAATGCCAGGAAGTTAGGCAGTATCAGTAGCAACTGGGGTGAGTATGTATGTGTGATTAATAATGTAACCACAAAGTACTGTCCCTACTTTCTGTAGCTAATGTCAATCTGTTCTCATTGTTTGCTAACTCACCCAACATCAGTCTTATGTACTGGATACATGCCTGAAACTCTTGGTAACACTTCATAAATCTTTTTTGAAATCAAGTGTAATCCATCCATGAAAGCTTATGTCAGAAGCAGCCTTCCCCAACTGGTGCTCTCCAGACATTTTTGGAAACAACTTTCAGAGTTCCTGATGACTGACCAAGGTGGCTGGCCCTGATTGGAGTTGAAGGCCACATGGCTGGAAGATCCCATGTTGTCGACAAATTAGCCCCACTGAGGGTTTTTGTTAATGGTTTAACCTGAGTTGTACCTTGTTGAAATAAACATGGACCCAAATGCAATTTGCCATCATTAATCATACATTTCCAAGTTTGCAATGTATTCTGAGATAAAAAACAAACCAAAAAGAGTATGTCTGTTAATGTGTACATCTGAAAAAACTCACAAAGGAAATCGTGTACATTTTACAATGCACACAAATATGATTTAATCAATATTTAGGAAAATGCACATTTATTTGTTTGTTTATTTAAAAGCTGTCTATACCATGCCTATAGCTAGTCAGCTTTCTGGATGGTATATTGTTCAATAATGTGCATCAAGCTGAAAACATTTTAAAAATGAACAAGATATGTACACATTGGGGGAAAAAAGCCCCATAAGAAACTAGGATAGAACAAACCAGGTGCTGGAAAACAAGAACTCATTGGGATCCATCTAGTTGCCTAAGTACTTAGACCCACAGAGCAAAGCAGCTACAGGTTTTTTGTTTCATTTTGGGAAATAGATCAAACTCTCTGTTAAACCTGAAAGTGAGGTGTTCCATTGCAAGGCACAGCGCTTTCAACCAACTCACAGCTCCTGCTGCTTTTTTCTCCCTGCCCCCCATCTCTCTGATCCCCATCCTTTTGAGCTGCAGAATTGGCCTATGCTTTGAGTTGCACATAAAATAGCTACATGGATATTCTCAGGTGACCAAGTTGTCCAGTAACAGTGGTCCAGTCACTTAAGCACAGCAATGGCAATGTCAATACTTTCAGCTTCAATTAAGTCCACTGATTAGTTTCAACAGAGTGAGGAAAAGGAGGAGGGACCTTGGGAGGGTTTGTGTTCTGAGGAGGCTGCATCATGAGTCATTGTTTAAAAAAGCCAGCTTGCTGACTTCAGCCAGGAGGCATTGTCAACTGTGGATTGTACCAGTTGTACATCACTCTAAGCAACTGGATTATATGCATCAGATACCAGCATGGGAGCCAATTCTAGTTCACCCGAGGTAAGAAAACTTCCTAAGAAAAGTAACACAACCAAAGCATGTAGAATGCCAGTTTCATTGTATATGAAATGTAAGTAATATATTTTTGGGTGTTTTGATAAGTGCTCAGATATTCACCTGGAATAGTTGCTTTTTGCCTGTGGCTTTTAATAGATGTCTGATATTTACTTTTTATTCTTGTAGTATATAAATCCAGACAACTAGACAAATGCCCTTACAATTAAGGAAGGAAGCAATCCAACAGGCAACCCTACTAGTTTAGTTGAAGAGTTGTAGAAATGCATGTATTTTAGATGTAGAACTTATGAAATCATCGAATGGCTCTTTTAAAGTTTTATTTTCTTCTTACTCTAGGGCTTAGACAACTATCCAGATCATCGTGCAAGGCGGGTATGTACATAGTCAAATAGTCCTGGGTCAAAGGACTATTTTTTTGACCGTTCTTATTCAAATAGAAAAATAAATTATTTTCAGATATGATTTTCAAGGGGGGAAAATCAGTGAAACTCTTGTGGGTGGACTGTGAGTTCTCTTTCTTATCTTAGTTTTGAGGTGCACGAACAGTGTGTGCAAATGTCTTGTTTTGCTTGTACAATAATCTCCCTGACAGTTTTCAGTGCTCTCCAACTTCCCACATGTCAGTTCAGGCCCAGACGATACCTTATTGTTTTTTCAGATCAGGAAGTGTGGACAGCCAGGGAGGCAGCAGAGTGATGGACAGATGTGTAACAGGAAGGAAAACAAGGGTCACCTGACAATAAACGATCAGGCAGTGGGAGAAAACTTGGAGAAACTGGTGAACAGGTTTTGGCACAGCCATAGAACACAAGTTGTGGTATAAATGATGCCTGAGGAAAAGGTGCTAGAACATAAAGAGAAAAGTTTTCTACAAAGCTTCACTACAAATCTAACTGGCAAATACAAAATGTGCTGAATAGGTAAATCCTTACTGTTATCCTGGTCCATCAATTCTCATTGCCTACTGCTATCCTGCACCACAAACGAGGTCCCTCACTTTTTTCACACCAATTGTTCTTATAACTGAAGTTTCTGTTTATGAATTTCTTCTCTTTTCCTGTCTTTCTCAGCTTTTTTCATGGAAAACTGAGATCTGTTTATATATTAGGCCTTGTACGAATATATAAGATGAATTACGGTTGTGGGCAGGCCTGAGTGTCTTTAAGAAAAATATTTAGAACACTCATGGCACAAAGCCATGCATGTTTAGACAGACAAACATCCTACAGCTGCCAGCACACCCTAGCTAGTTGTAGGACTTTTTTTTGGTCTGAACAGGTATAGGAGTGCACCCTAAGGGTTGCCAAAAAATGGATCACAAATAGGAGTAGCATGTCTTTTAAAGGACTTGGAAAACAGTTATAGTGTGCCTTAGCTGGACAAATGACACAGAAAATGCCTTTAAAAACCTTTATCTTTTTTGACTTTGTAAATATATTTGAAATAAAGCTAATCTTTATTTTCTTCATAAAGTGTTTGAAATGCTTTCCCCATGACAAGTTCCAAAGTCCTACCACAAAATAGCAAGAATAAAACTCATAATGTAGAGAGAGTATGTATAATATACATATACTCCTACAAGGAACCCTAACCCTAACCTGCCATCCCTGCTTTCTTTTTTCTTCTCTCCTAGTTCAGTGAGTACATGGAGTCCTTATTGGACTGTTCTCCCAGTCCCTCACACTCCATTTTCAAATTTTGGGGCAATGATATAATGAGGTGGACATACCAATGTCTCAGATACATTAAATAATTGATTCCTCCATTGATGTCTATGGGCAGCTCTCAGTTTCATCCCTGGCAACATTTAAAGATAGCACACATCATACCAAGCAGCCCTGTTTGGTTACCAGGATTCATGGTTTTCTTCTTTGATCTACCTGGCAGACAATCAGGTTTATGACACTAACTCTCCTGCCATCCCATCCCTCTCAGTCCTCCAGGTGGTATCCCAGGAAATGGCAACCAGCCACTCTTGCCAAGTGGTTCTCTGGTTCTGGTCTTGGGACTGTGAAGAATTGTGATTGGACAGGTTTGGATGACACAGCAATCTAACATGGTACTGAGAAAACATGGAGAAGACCGTTGTTTCTGTTTGTGTCTTCTAAAGACCAAATGTACCATGCTGAAGGGCTTTGGGAGACATGCCGGACAACAATGGGAAAACCCTACTGTGGCTTGCTGCATCACGAAAACCCATCCAGTGTCTAAATGGGGCAAAGAAGTTTCCTATGCAAAACATGAAATAGTCTATTCTGCCTTTGTTGTATCTATATCTTCTTCCCTTTCCAGATACTCCATTCCATATCCCTTCCCATCTAGTTGTCAGATTTGTTCCTCACTCAGTCAGGGTTCCATGTCATTCTTTGTGCACAAGATGTCCTACTGCATGAGGAGGGAGGCCACCCCCTCCATGCCCCCACTACCTGCCTGCTCCCTATTATTTTTCCCTGGAACAAGAGGTCAGGCAGGCAGCTTCTCCTGTACAGGCTGTCACCAGGGAACCTCACCAAGCCTTGCTCTGAGGAAGAAAGATGCTCAAGTGTGACATTAAGGCCAGCCTCGCTTGCTAGAGAGGCTCCCCATTTGACCACTTGTTTGGAGGGACTCTTCCGAGGAAGGGGGTGGGTGGGCTTCCAGAGAAGTTAGGAATTCAGGCAGACAGTCATCCTCTCCATCTTTCTGAGCACTCTCCAAAAGCAGGAACCCAGGCGGGTGGCCTCCTTGGAGAGCCTGTCCGCCTGCTCATTCACCTCTAGGGAGAGCTCAGAGTGGCAGGTGGGAGTGGTGCTCTTCCCAGGAGCTCTGCTTGCACTCTGGCATTTCCTGTAGGGGGTGAGTCATGCCAATGTGGTATCAGGGGTTCTGCCATGGGAGCACGTGCTCCACTGCCTCTCCTAATTCACTGCCTGAGCAGGGTCATAGGAGGGATGATCCTGCTGCTTTTAAGTTCTTATGGGCTATTTCTGTGCTACCCCTTAGGGGTTTTGTTCCTCCTAAGGGTGTTTTTGAGCATCTCCAAACCCCAAGTCATCCAATTTCTCTTTGCGGAGAATGGGTAGTGTGGTTTTGGCTACTGAGTCTAAATATAGTCTAGATGGGATAGCAGCTAGCATGCCTGTCCTGTGTGTCTGCCTTGTGCTTTGTTCAGGGCCACTCAGGGCTCATTAGGGGTGTGTGAGGGATCTGATTGGGGTCAGATTCCCTGTGCTCAGCAGAGGCCCAGAGTCTGAATTCCTGGTGAGTGGACCCAGAAATCATGTACCCTCTGTGTGTCACTGCTGCCACTGCCAACAGCAAGCAAAGGAGAAGGTTGGTCACCAGGAAGGATGCCTGGTGTGCCCACTGGCAGGGCCCCTTTTCTGTACCCCTCAGGAGCCTCTGATGGGGAAGGTTGCTGGATGCACAACTGGAGGTTGCAAATGCTTGCAGATTTCCTCTTTGCTTGGCTCACTTTGCAGGACTGGGCCAAGTGTGAGAGGATCTGGAGCGCTACCATTTGTACAAACCATCACTGCCGTGCAAGGACTGTACATGCAGACCCTGTTGTTTGTGTGATCACTTTCCCCAAGAGAGTCACTGCAGCCATGAGATAACCGCCGTTTTCTGTGCAGCCTCCCTATGGCAACTTTGGTTTACAGCTTCCACAACCTGGTGTCCTCTAGACGTTTTGGACTATGACCACCAGCAGTCCTGATTGTTGGGCATGCTGGCTGGGACCAATGGCAGTTAAGGTCCAAAACGCCTGAAGGGCACCACAGAGAGGACATTTGGTTTGCACCAACTGTGTTTGCAGAGAAGCATTGCACAGCCCTGAGCCTGAGCCCAGCATGGCAAATTCCTCAGCTGCCTGCACAGCTACAAAGGAGTCATATCCTTGCAGAGGGGGAGTCAGTGGTGGAGAACCATCCCAGCCACTGCTCTACCCTTTAATTTCCCCAGTCATTAAAAAAAATCAAAATACTTTAAAAATGTTTTTAAAGCTGGTTGAAATAACTTTATGCCTCCTGTTTTTGTGGTATCGATGATTGATTTAAGTTGCTTAATGTATTTGTATTTAATGTTGTATTTTTATGTATACCTCCTGAAATCCTTTTTGAGATGAAGGTGCTGTTCATAAGTTTCATAAAAAGCAAACAAATATTATTTTAGAAGTATCCAGAACAAGCCCAAGTTGACATGTAAGGCTGTAGTCCCAGACACACTTGCCAGTGAATGTGTCCCATTTAGCTCGGTGGGAATTAGTGCTGAGTAGGGGTGCACAATGTGAGATTGCCCAGTCTTGTATTTGAATGGGGAGTCTGCATGCATGACATGCAGAAATTCAAGAAATGCAGGCCTCCATCACAGCATCTCAATGCTAGGAAAAGTGTTAAGTATTGTGTTTCCAATCTGTCACACACCTGTTTAAAGGTGCAGGCATTCTGTCAGATAAGAAACAGTATACCTTTGGATGAAAATTAGGTCTTTTCCCACCTTTCAAGCCAACTTCTGCATCATGCAATGACCCTCATGAATTTCTCTCTCCATTAGAGCTTTCTTTCATTTCTGTAAAGCAGAACCATATGTTACATTAAGGCTGTTTGTCAAATAAGTTATTAGAGTCTAAGCTTTCTACATCCTAGTAAAACCATTAGTATATACCTTGAGGAGATTATAAGGAGTTATTATCCATGGAGATTCTTGTTCTTGTGTCTTTTATGGAAATATAGTCTAATTAGATGATGTGTGGTGTCCCAAAGGCTACCTTTGCTTGAATTTAATTTTCAGGTGGTGTAAGTTCTGTACATCTTTGGCTCACTTATTTCCATAGGATAATTAGGAACTCCGTACCATCCCCATTCAAATAAGTGGAAGTTATGCTGGCATCATGGCAATTATTTGATGATAAGCAACCTGGGGCCTTCCAGATGTTTTAGACTACAACTCCCATTATCTCTTACCATTATCTCTTACCATTTGAGCCAAGTCAGGACAGCCAATAATAACTGATAATAAGAATTACAGACCAAAACATCAGGAGGGCATTAGCTTGCCTACTTCTGCTTGTATTTTTCTTTCATTTTAGTCATATTTTTATTTACTTTTAATGGTGTAGTTTGTTCTGTACTTTGCATCCATTCACGTATTACGGATGTGCATGAGGAAAGGGTTTGAGATGTCCAGCTCACTCTCCCTACATGGTTAAGTCAACAGCATCCTAAATGTCTGATGGGGTGTTTCTTGGTTCAGTTATGCTTTTAGTTGCTGAAATTTAAAACTGTATTAATTATCAAACTCTTTTTGAACTAGTCATTTTCAGCCTGCCATTTCAGAAAGCATAGCATAGCACAGGTTAGGTCTAATAATTTACAATTCATTTAGTTTCATAGAAAGTGGTTGTATGTTTTCCTTTAAATTGGTGTTAGCCAGCAGAAATAAGAACTTGAAAGATCCATTGATATAAATGAAGCAAATATTTAAATTTCTTCTGTTATTATCTTAACAAGCACTTAACTTCGGCTGGATGGTGACCAGTGCTTGTGTGCTCACATGTAAACAGTTCTATGTGGCAAAAGATGGCATGAAGAAGCTAAATGGGCCACCTTTTTATTTTAGCTTAATTTAATTTGTTTACACATACTGCTAGAATTAGTTCTCCAGGGGCACAATTCTATTGCCCCCAGAGGAGATGCTCATCAGATGCTTAAGAACATCAGTGGAGGGGTGAGGCACAGCGGTGGCATTTCCTGCCATTGCTGCACTGTGTACCCTGCATTTTCTCTAGATGGCTGTTTTGGGCCATCTAGGCTTAGCACCAATGAGGGAAGGAGGAGAACTGCTGAGTGGAAGTGGTGGAAGCCCACAACCCCAGCCTCCTTCTCTCCTTGTCCTGCCACACTGCTTTCCCCCACTACAAGGCCTCTTGAGACCTCAGGAGGTAGGCGGCTGGCATGGTCCTTTCTGTGCCAGCTGCAGGGGGGTAGGGAGCGGCTCAGTCTTTGGTGTCCCAGCTCTGAGAGTCCATATAATCCTATGGCCACCGATAGAAACCTATAGGATTGTGCCCCCAATGACTTTCAGAAATTGCACTTGGAATCGTGCTAAGTAATCCTGTGTTGCTTCAGATCTGATCTACGGCAATTTTGTGGGGACACAAACACAACTGCAGCACTGACCTGTTCAGTGTGGCCAGACCACGTACTATTCAAACCTTTTGTGTCTCTGAGGCTTATAAACTGAATTACCTCACCAACGGACATTTAAAAATGAAAGGAATGAAACCAGTATATCTTTTTCCGCAAGTTAGCCCACTACATGGCTTCATGATCTAGGCTGGAGGGTTAATGAGGAATTGTTGTGTGGCTTGCTTGTATTCATCAGTAGGAACTCTGCAGCTTTCCTCTTACCAGGGGCAGAGAAAGGATGGTGGTGATAATTACTGCTTTCTTCCATTGTTTTTTAATGACCAAAGATAAATAGTTTAATAAACAGTGATCTTTCATCTGAAAAGAACCACCACTGGGGTGATTTTGAGAGGCTAATGATGAAAACTGGTCCCTTCCTGAGAACCTTTCAAGAGCCACTGACAATAGCTAACATGCAGTAGGCAAAACAGAGTTCAGTTGTTGGCTGTCCAAATGTCTTCCCTGCTTTGCCCTTTTCCATTTCTCCCCTTTGTTCCTTTGTCAGAGTAACATACTCAACTTAGGTGTATGTTTGGTTGGCTCAGGTCGCACTGATAGTACTTTATTGCCTCACATATTTCATATTTGTGGTATTCAGTCACAACCTGTGTGATGGGATACAGCTATTATGGCTGATTCACACGGTCATTTCCAGAAAAACACCTTTCATCACAAATTGGACATGATGTGAATAATCCCAGTCTTGTGCTTTCAGCAAGGTGTCAGAGGATTTGAAATCTTATCCTCTCCTGGCTCATCCCGGTTTCCTAATACATTACAGGATGCGCTGCATTACAAGCATCCCTCTGATTTCACATGGTTAGCACATCCTCCCATGCTGATTTTAAGTAGCACATCAAATTAACATTCAGTCCAAAGTGGTAGAACAAGATGAAGCTGGATACTTGAAACCAGCTGACAAATTCCTTCATGATTCATCATCCGTATGGACTTCTGAGCATCCTAAGCCTCATTGAAGTCAACGAAATTCCAGCATTTAACTGTGACTTCAGTGCCCTTTCTGTTTTACAGTAGCTGGTGTCAGGTGCTAGCTACTGTCCTACTGTCCTTGCAGCTAGCAGTGCAGTAATCCCTGTAATGGGATAGTAAGCAAGAGCAGGGCACCACTGGCTTGATTTGGTGGGGCTGATCTATATGCAGACCATACTCTGAGTATTATGGGTACAGAAGAAGAGAAACCCCCTTGTGTGGAGTGACAGGTGTGCACACAGTGAAGCCATCTGCAAATTCTGTGTTCATCCTATTGTGTGTATAAAGATATCTGACTAACGCTGCCCATGGTGTCAGATCATATGTCCCCTATAAAAATAGCATACCTAATGAGATTCAAGTGCCCTCCTCCCATTAGTTGGGCTTTTAAAACATTCATGTTAAACATTCCCCTATCCCCCTGCAGAAAGAAAGTTAAATTTTGCAGGGGTTTTTTTTTTGACAGAAATGCCCAAAAAGCCCAGATAATCTCATCCTTCAGCACCAATTACCTTGCCTTCATCAAAACTTTAACTCAGAGAAGGAGGCAAGTTAACAAATGATAGGAAGAGATCACTAAATGGCTTGGGACCAGGAAACTTAAATTTTGCAGGGTTTTTTTTTTTTTTTTGACAGAAATGTCCAAAAAACCCAGATAATCTCATCCTTCAGCACCAATTATCTTGCCTTTCTCAAAACTTTAACTCAGAGAAGGAGGCAAGGTAACAAATGATAGGAAGAGATCACTAAATGGCTTGGGACCAGGATACCTAATGGAACACCTTTTTCCCTATATGCCCTCCTGCCCCCTAAGATCAGCAGCAGAGGCCCACCCCTGGGAACCCTCTTTGAAAGAGCTCAGGAGACAGAGTACTTGGAGGAGGGCTTTCTCTGCAGTGGTCCCCCGACTATGGAATGTGCTCCCTAGAGAGGTCTGTCTGGTGCTGTCATTATATGCTTTTCGGTACCAGGTCAAGACCATTTTATTTGATCAATATTTTAATGTTAATCAATTTTAATTGTATATTTATCTAATCTATTTTAACCATGTCATTTTTATGCTCAGTTCGTGGTATAGCTAATTTATTTTGTTTAGGATTCATAATGTTTTGTAAGCCGTCCAGAGACGACAGTGATGGACGGCCTATAAATCTCCTAAATAAATAAATTCCCCACAAAGAAGCCTCATACAGTCCCACCTTTGCTGGAAATGGCACTTGCAGCATTATGTTGTTTCTATAAAATGCTGCTCCTTTATTTGTACAACTCTGTAGCACTTTTCTAATATATGTAATACAACAATATTTCTGTTGTGTTCACAACAACTTTGAGTAACCTGGGAATTGCCCAATTGCACCAACAAAGCCTTTCCTCCCTTTACCAGATCATTCACTATCTGTTTTATTTGAATATTCATGTATCCTTGCTCACACAAATAGAGACTTATGTGTTGTTTTCTTGTTGTATTGGCAGATAGAGGAGTCTCCTTTTCAACTTCTCACAGTAAGAATTCTAAGAGCCAGAAATATCCAGAAGGCAGACATACGTGAGTATCTCTTTCATTAACAGAAAGTCCAAGGATTTGAACAGAGTGTTACATGTCAGAAAAACCATAAAAAATTAGGTTTATGGGAGCAAACCTGACTCAAGCATTGGCGTAATCTATCCAGCAGGGTCAAAGTACTCTATCCCTTGCCTATCCCCAATGAGTAGTTATCATTTCTCTCTCTCATTCTCTCTCTCTCCTTTTTAAAGAGGATTTAATTCTACCTTTCTACCAAGTGAATAATCAAACAATTATAATCAAATTGTTTATATAACCAAAAACAATATAACACAACAGCCATTCAAAAACAAATTAGAGTACTTGGTTCAAGCTGTTCTGCGTGGACGCTAATGAAAAAATAATCTGTCATATTCTTGGAAAATGGCATCATGGTTAAGAATTGACAGATTTTGTCACCCTGCAGTGAAGCAATTTCAACACAATGTTGGGCACAGTGCAATAACTCTGCTTACCTGTGTTCTTTTTTCAGTGGTAAAAACCACTCCAGACAAGCACTTCTGTCTAGGGATAATCAAGAATTTTGTTTCAGTTTGCAAGACATTCAGACACACCCCATTTGCCACCTGAACACAAAAAGGAGTACTCTTGAAAATAAAAGATCTGCACATTCCCAAACTTGGAACTTGAGAAATGTATAATTTTTGATAATGTACACTTTGAAAATAACATATTTGAAATGCATAGAAATACGCATTTCCAGACATTAGTCAATGCAAGAGGGTGGAGTATGTACTTTCAAAAATGCAGAAATGCACACATTCTCTAATCAAACAAATTCACAAAAAGATCACCAGTGAAAATGGAAGTAAGCCAAACTGAGCTTCATAGTGAATTTAAGGAAATGGCTGTAAGCTGGAACATCCCACTAGAGTGGTCCACTTATAGGGACTAGCATTTGTCCACCTTTTTGTCCATGGATGTCTTTGTTACAGAGAGACCATAGAGATGTGTCTCTAAGCTGTCTTTCCATTCCCTGCCACCCCTTAAGCTCTCATGGTCACTTTCTCAGTGGTGATCAAAGATTCTTCTCTGCCCAAGAAGCTGGCCACTGGAGCAGGGATGGGGAGCAAGAGTCCTGCATTAGAAGGTGGAATTTCCAGTCTTCTTCAGCTAGCAAATGTCAAACCTGCCTGTACTGAGTCTCCTGTCTAACTAGGCTATGGTTCCACATAACAGTCCAACTATCATAGAGAATAATGCCAAATAAAACAGAATTATAAGCATATCTTAATCACAGAAATGTGATTAAGCTTGCCACAAGGAAACTGAGCATGGAAAATGAAAATATAGTTTAATGTTTGTTACTTTTCTATGCTTAAAGAGACACAACGGATGGAAGAGTCACCAGGAACGTGTAAGCAACGAGGAGAATTTTAGACTATGCAGGTCTAGATGTTAATGAAGTGATGAGATTCCACGGATACCCAGTTCCCAATTTTGGCTGAAGTCCTGAATGGAGAATTGGCCTATATTACTGTACTTGGGTACAACACTTTAACCCCCCCCACCCCCCCAAAAAAAAAACATTAAAAAGTAGAAGGATGCACAGAAAAGCTTTAAGAGAAATATTTTTGTATTCCCTATTGGTCTTGGTGAACAGAATGTACAAAATGTTTGCATAGGCTTCCCTTATGCACTTTGTTTTTACCAGAGGGAATATATACTCTATCAGCCAGATATGGAAGTGCAGAAAAGGGCAACCAAGTGAATCAGTGGGTTGGAGGATTTCCAAAGAAAGGTTATAATGTTTGGGGCTAGGTTGTTCAGAAAAAAAAGCAAATAACTGGGGCAGGCATAGCATGGAGAAAATTGATAGAAAGAAGCTTTTCTCTGTCCTGTCGCTTACTAGAACTCAGGATCATGCAATGAAACTAAAATTCAAGGCAGGTGGGCAGGATACTGCTCTGGGCTGCGGCTTCCCTAATCAAGCAAGTTGGGAAGCAGTGTTGAGCTGGCTATAGGGTCTTTTTGGAGGGATTTCATTCAGAGTTGACCTGACAGCATGTAGCAATATAACAATTCCATGCAGGGGTTGGTAAATACTCAGAGGAGAGTAAATAGACCCTGTTCTGAAAGGGTTTATTAGAAAATTGGAGGTGACATATGAGGACAGCAGGGGCCAATTTGATTTTGCTCTTTTTCCATACCTTTGGAATGTCTAGATTTTTATCTAACTATACCTTATCTGCAGCTAGAGTGCAGGAAATTGTAAAAGCAGACCCCCGTGATAACACCTGCAATGATACATTACTAGTTATGAGCACGCTCGCCATGCTTCAAGTGCTATCTCCCATTATGTTTCCATTGCATAGTGATCCATTGCATAAAGGAAATTATGCTGTCCATCAACTTCCATTAATTCTCCAACTGTATTTCCCTGTCATGCTTTTAAAAACATACTTGATTGCTTAGGGTGTCCCTTTAAGCACCCATAACTATTTTTAAAAATCCAATTACCACTCCACCTTTGGGGATCTCAGTGGAAGGAAGATGGCTGCTTCGCTACTGCTGCTCCCAGCAGGATCACTGTGGGAAGAAGTGTTAGAAGAGAGTCAGGTTCACGAATGCTGTTTCTGGGCAGAATCAGGTTTTTCCTAGCCTGCCAAACAGCTGTGCATGTGTGGTAGCAGTGGTGCAAGGGAAAATGGGATGTGAGGGCAGGTCACATGCAACTCCTTTGAGGGCCATGTGACGACCGTGGCCCACCATTTGCCCATCACTGTTTTAATAGATCCTCAAAAGGCACTCTCCTTATAGAATGTTTTACTAGGTTGTGTTTATTATCTGTAGAGAATGTGCTCCCTTTGGTATGTTGCATGTTTAAAGGTTGTTGTTGCTTCTCATTTTAGTGCGTGTTGCCAAACAGGCAGGTCTTAGGGTCATGACACATGCCCCTGTCACACTTTGTGCCTCCTTCTAATGGCTCCACATAATCATTTATCCGTTGTAACTATGAAAGTGATATGATCAATAGCCATTATGAAAGACGACTGTGGCATGACAAGAACGTGAAACATCTCATGGTTCTTTCATAAATTGTTACACAAAGGTCCCTAACATTAGCAGCATTCATCAGCAGGGCAGGGTCAAGATAAATACTTGGAATATCTAATCCTATCATCAAAGCTGTTTAGCATACAGGAAGAGGATCTCATTCAACCAAAGTTAAATGGTTGAATGACCTCACCAATTGCTTAAAGGTACAGCAGCAAACCGCATGTTTCAATTGAAAGACGTTCTGCAACTCTCACTGTGCCCAGATCAGCATGGCTAGTTGAGGCAGGTGGCAGCTGTACAACTTTCTTCTCTTTAAACATGTATAGGATTGTGTCCTAAGCCGCCATGTTGAAGCAAAGACTTTTAATCACTTAGTCCACCCTTCCCCAGCCTCATGATTTCCTGAGGGAAGGCCTTGCCACATTTAGTTGCTACAGGTGGTAGTCAGGAATATGTGGCTAGAATCCCCATTGTATAGCAAACCAGCCCTGGGTGGGGCAAAAAGAGAATTAAGGCAGAGAAGCCTAGGCCCTTTGTGGCCATACAACACATTCTGTCTCTTAGTCTTGCTTTAGATTTGCTGACCACACTGGGAACTGCTAACTTGGTGTTCCTCCAAATGATAATTGGAAGAGGCCTGTCACATTATTGTTTGTTTGCCTTCAAAAATGCTGAAGGCCTTGCATCTGAGACCTTTGATTCCCATGTATATGTGAGTTTCTCACACATGTGAGAGCACCACACTGCAATGCATTATTATCTCTAAAATAGGACTTCACCTTTGTTCCCCATTCCCCACAGTCCTTACATGTGAAGATTAGGTAGGTTCAGGCTAGACACCTGGAAAAACTTCCTAACTGTCAGAGCAATATGACAGTGGAATGAGTTGCCAAGAGACATTGTGGGCTCTCCCACACTAGAGACATTCAAGGTGAAACTGGACAGTCATCTGAGTGGGATAGTGCAACTTGGCATCCTGCACCTGCAGGGGCTTGGACCCAATGGCCTACTTGGCCCCTTCCAACCCTTCTGTTCTATTCTGTGAATCTGTGCCCTATGTCTGCACAGTCATTACGTGAAGCTTAGTGCTAGCAAAGGTCCTGCCATTAGGTGGATAAGGCAGCTGCCTCAAGTGGCAAAGGCTGAAGGAAGTTAGTGTTGGAGAGGAACTGGAGGATGGAGCTGCGTATGCTGCAAGGCATGTGTCTGTGCTAACCTGGTAGAGGATGTTGTGGAAGTAAGATTCACCCACTAGTCTGACATCTGCATCTGGAAAGAGGATAGTGCCCTGTATTTCGCCACAGGAAGCAAAATGTCTTCAGCTGGCTCTAGGGTAATCAGCAAGATCATCTTTGTGAGGTGGAAGGCGGGTGGATAAACATGGTGATTGAGAGGGAAGTAGGGCTTGTCATTGCTAAGCAGAAAATTACAGAACATACTTAATTAGAAATGGTGGCACTGCTGTGTGGTACTAGTTGGATACACACAAGTCCCAGTGGGTATCACTGTACAGGAAAGATCAACTGTTAGAACTATTTCACCTAAACTTAGAACAGATGCTGTTCTCTTTGTGGGCCAATATTTAACTCTGTGAGTCTTGCCTTTTCTTTTTGGCCTCCTTGTCTGCCGATCTAGGCAAAAACTCTAACATCTGCTTGTTCAGTGTAACCAGCATCCGGGGTGTGGTGCTGCAATTCCAGTTAGCACGGGGATGCCACTGGGAGCATGGAAGCTGGGCAGAGTGGCCAGGCCTACAGTTTAACATTCTTGTTCTAGCTGGTTTGAACTTGTGCATTCATTTCCCTCTATGCTAGGCCTCTTCCTTGCTGCTTGCCCTAATAACATCATAGTGATAGGTGACTCTTGATACCAGAAAGAGTTTTGAGGCCTACTGTGCCCTGTGTGGAAGTTGCAGGCATCTCTTTTCCTACCATGAGGGGAAATAATCCCACCTCCCTGCCCAGCTCAGTTAACCTTGCCTGCACAGAGCTTACCATTGGCTTTTTTTTTCTTTTCCCCAATTTATATCCTGCCTTTTTCCTACAAAGGGCTCAAAGCAGCTTACATCATTCTTCTCCTCCATCTTATCCCCACAACAACAACCCTGTGAGGTAGGTTGGGCTGAGAGTCTATGACTGGCCCAAAGTCACCAAGTTGGCTCCATGGCCGAGCGGGGACTAGAACCCAGATCGCCTGAGTCTCAATCCCATGCTCTTAACCACTACACCATATTCTTTTGTGAATATATAGTTAATGCTACCTATGTGGCTTGGTCAACTGTAACCCTGACAACCTGCTAATGCAGGCCACAGTTTCAGATATTTTACCCAGTGTAGCTCTAAAATCATAAAATTGCCTTAAGGAGAAAGATCAGTCAGATCAAACATTTAAGTAAATCTTATACCAGCACTCTGGAAAACAAAATAGTTTGTTACATCTATTTAATTGTACATTTCCAGTTTCACAAATACCCTCTGAGAATACACCACACACAAACAGAAGGGGGGTGGCATCCACCGGAGCAACAAGGCAAGACCTTCCCCCCGCCCAAGCGCTTTACAGATCTTCAGCTCAGTGTGAGTCCTTTTCTTCCACACAGATGCTGAAGAAGAATCCTCTTGCTGGTACTGCAGCTTGGGCTTGTAACCTGTAAAATTAGGGCCAAGTCTCAGTTAATAAACCCCAGGCTACAAGGTTTGTTTTCTACGTTCCCTTTTGTGGAACCTTTCCTGCTGAACTGACTGTTCTGCAGTGTCTGCAAATGATGTCCCTGAGGTTATACATATACTGCCCTTGTTCTTCCAGCATACGACTGTTCTAGTTGCCGTGATGTTTATAATTTATTGTTTCATTCTACAGTTACTGAATCCGATTGCTATGTATGTTTATGGCTGCCTACTGCTTCAAGTGAAAAGGTGCGGACAATAACAATTCCCAACTCAAAACATCCAGTGTGGAATCAAGCTTTTTGCTACAGGATTGATAGACGTGTCAAGGTGAGCAAATTCCATTTAGATTTTATCAGTTGGCAAAACTGATTGAATATTATCTCAATAGCAACCTCATTCCCCCAGTATGGATCTTTTTGTAGCGAAGAGAGAGGCATCCACAGCTCTGGGGAAACTTCAGGTTAGCAGGAGTAAAAGATACTTAGGCAACCTTCCAAAGATGCAGCTCTCTTAAAACAACAACACATTTATATTTATTTAAATCTTCTATATGCCATCCAACTAACGTGTCGGGAAAGTTTCTCAGTGGGCATTAAATACTGATTGATTATTGGGGAAGAGTCAGGAAGCCATGGGAAAGGAAGAGAAGGGGGCATGGCTGCTTGGAACCTTGAACAAAGAAACAGAGAAACAGAGCAAGTCAGAAGGGGTCTCCTGGGCCATCTAGTCTGACCCCCGGCTCCAGACAGCTCCACTCATGACATGCCTACCATGTGCATGTCCAGCCTATCCTTGAACTCCACATTGCTCACATTTCGTTTTAGTTCTGCTGGAAAATTCAGCAAGTAAACTAAATGAGATACACGTTACACCAAACTTCTAGTGAATATCTTTACATATAGCACCAAATCATAATCATCAACAACTAAACTGTGGAGGAGGAATCAACAAAGATGATTTTGTGGGACTGGACAAAAACTATCCAGGTGAATTTCCTTCTTAGTTAGTGATGTGGGTCACTAGGTTTAGGCAATCTCAGTGGCAGGCAGAGCTAAGCCAGATTGATTAAGCAGTAGGGGAACTAGCATGCTGGCTTGTTTATGACTAAGTTTAATTAAACAAACAAAGCAAAACAAAACAAAGCCTTAGGTTATTGCTGCAAGTGTATCCAACATTTTTTTTCTTAGTGTAGATGATCTCAGAGAATTGTGTGCATAGGAAACATTCATGTACACTGACTTGAACTATTCAGTATTAGATTTGGAATTGCTAAAATTTCTATAAGAATTGGTGGCAGGCTATTTTTTTCTGCCTTTCTCAGATTCTATTGTATAATCAGTTCTCTGTTTCATGAATATGATACAGCATAAAATCAAATAAACTAAATGTTGCACTAAGGAAAAGGATGCATATGTATTCTATCATGTTCATTTACATTCATACATATTAGTATATCAGTTTAATTACATTAAGACAGCTGCTTAACAGGTCTTATGATTTAATTTGTATAAGATATTGTAGCATTTTTAATTTGGTTTTCAATTGGCTTTTAAATTGTATAGTGTACATTTTATGATGTTTTAATTGTTACCTGCATTTTCTATTTTTATTGTATTTTAAGTGCTGTTGCAAACTGGCCAGAAAGCTTTGGTTATTGGGTGGTAAAAATATAATTAATATTAATAATTGAATGCTGGGCTATCTATATTGTTAATATGTCTGGTCTGTCTTAAATATGTTGCATGAGTATTGACTAATTCCTCTGAAAGGTGTTGAGTTACTTCTTCATTGCTATGCATATTTATAACTAGTAATTTTGTTCATAAGTATTGTCCACACCTTCATCCTCCATGTTAAAACAGTAGGGACAGTAGCATTTCTTCATTTCTTCACCTACAGTAATGTAAACATATACACTGTTATTACCTGATGCAGTGCCTCTTGCACTATCTTACCTAGCCTTCTGCCTCCACATGCAGTGGAAGATGCTATCGTGTCTCCAGTGATGAAAAAAGAATTAGCTACTGGGCTTTATTTTGTCCTTTGTGTTAGGCAACAAAACCACTTGGACAAGACCTGGATGGCAGAGGAGACACCAGCCAAGAAGCTCACAAAAATGTTAATGCCAGAAAACTCCTGACAAGATCAATGCCACTTATTAATTACTGTCCCAGATCCTTAATTTAAAAGAACAACAATGAAATAAAGCAGTCATTATGTTTAGCAGTTCAAGTAATCAGTCATTCATCTCTTAAACTGAATGGCTTATGAAAGCCCATTCACCCCAATTGGTGCAAGTAACAACAGTGCCATTCCTAAAGATGGCTCAGGCAGCGTTTCATTAGATGAACATTGGTTTTCAGGTACCACACATGCATTTAGTGGTTAAAACATCTCAGAAATGTCATCAATTTCTGTTAAGTATTTTACATCCACACCCCACAGAATATGATTGGTGCGTTCTTATTTTTTCTTGTATGGTACAGCTGGAATCAGCCAAGTCAGTTATCATGCCTGCACTGTTGGTTCTCTTTGGTTGTGCTTTGTGGCCTGACAAAAGCACACACACCTTGCTGCAGGATTATTAATGCTGATGGCTTCAGGTATTGGGAGTTGTGCCATTTTCTTTGTCATGTTAAAATCTGTGGGTCCAGAACAGACCTTTGGAGCCATGCATGGAAGCAAGCTAAATAAACTAGAGAATAACTTTATTGTCTTTTTTGGTGAAGAACATAAAAGCCACAGGAAACTCCTTTAGGTCCATTCAGGTTTTACTAAGTCCAGCATGGCTTTGTGAGTGAGCTCCTGATCAAAAGTACCTGAGCCTGGGGCTTTCCAATATTCCTATGCCTTGTGAGATTGAAGCTGGCAGGGCAGGGGCAGCAGCAAATGTGATCTTTCGTCCCCCATCCTCTGAGCTTAGTTGTTGTTGTAGTTTGGCTAGATTGGCTTTTAAACCCATTTAATGAGGGTGCTTTGGAGGGTGAAGAAGGGAGGTTAGAAGAAGCTCAAGATGAATTGTATCATTCCCTGGCCTGTTCCCCGCTTTTCGGAGCTTTATTTTCTGACTTCAGAAAGGCAGCCAGGAGAGTTCTTTTCATACTAGCTGTGAGGAACTGGGGTCAGATCTCCAACTCCTCCTTCCCAAGTTGCAGTGCTGTCTCTGACTTGGAGAGGAGAATCTCCACCATCCTAACTATGGTCCCTGGAATGTTCACCTGGTGCACCGAAAGAAATGGAATATGCACCTGCCACTCTGTAGCTTCCTTTTTTGGTTCTGTACAATTCAAAATCAAGTCTTTTAAACAATATTTATTCTTAAAATATTCCTCTGTTGCCAGAATATTCTACATCTGAAACTCTGTGATGAAGATACATTTACCAAAGATGATCACCTTTACACAGTCCTCTTTGATATTGCTAAACTGCATCCCGGCCAAACTAGCCGTGTGAACTTCAAATTGAATGGAGAAGTAAGTGGTGAAGTTACACAGAAGCACATATGGTGAAACAAATGCTGGCTTAGACTTTCTGAACTTTACCCTGTAGTAGATACGCCCTCTATTGACACTTAAACTATGGTTGGAATATATGTTTAAAAAACCTCCTGTGCATGCCTGCTGCTATAATAATGAACAGACAGTCCTATCTCAGCAACTTTGGCATAGAGAAATTGAAGTTTGTCCTTGGTTCCCCATATGTGTATTCTGCTTTTTCTCAGAATATTGGCAGTCAGCCTCAAAACTGGGTTCTTTTTTCAAAGTGTAAGTTTATTTGGACTGAAGTAGAATGAATGGTTCCTGCCTTTAAACATTGGAAATTATGCACTTTTCAATGCACCTTGTCAATAGGAAAACATGAGTAGAACTTCAAGCAGCTCCCCACATACCCTGTTTCCCTGAAAATAAGACCTAACTGGAAAATAAGACATCACCTGAAAATAAGCCCTGATGTGTCTTTTGGAGCAAAAATCAATATAAGATCCAGTTTTATTTTTGGGGAAACCATGTGTTAGCATGGTTATGACAAACAAGACAAGAACATGGTATTACATATTGCTACAGAAGTTGCTCTACATGTATGTGAAGCATATATTCTTGGAATGGAAGGTAGTGTTGATTGAATTGTTCTCAGAATATGAAATCACAATTAAAATCAAATTCACAATGGTCTTGTTCAACCACCAGGAAAACCAAGGATTTCTGTTCCATGAATTAGCCTGTGTAAGCAACAGATTTTGCATTCTTCACTCTCCTCTTTTTTTCATGCACTGGAGCTCATTTGGGAATATAAATTTCTCCACAAAATTTGGATATCATGGAGGATTCTGAGTTGTTTAATCATTGAAGCAAAATTTTCTGATTTCACATGTGCAAAAGAGGAAGAAAAGGGAAGGTATTTTAGTAGGACAACTTTCAGGAAGTATAGTGTGTTTAGCACTGATGCAAAAATAGAAAAATGTATCTGTAAACATAAGAACAGTGGAGGAAACATAATTTTTTGGCTTCATATTGCTCATCTTATATTTATGAGGTTCAAGTTGGCTAAAATGCCAAAAGAATATTTTTTTAATCAATATTTGAAAACAGACAAGGGGGTAATCCTAATTTTCCTTATTTTTCTCTAGACACAGGAAGAACTGGATGTAGAGTTCTCATTACAGTACATGTGAGTAGATCTCTTAATATTACAGTTGAAAAGTAACTGGTATGTACTAGACCATATCAGTGTATAAAGAATATAGATAAAAGGACAAGCGGAATGTTTTTGGGACCTAGTGCAAAGTAGAGGAAGGCTTCCAATGAAACAACAGACTGGGTTGTCTGAGGGCTGAAGGGGCAGGCAGAGGAAAATTTGTTGTCCTGCAATGATAACTTCTTGAACAGACTGGGTTGTCTGCCCATAAGTGATGAGCAGACTATGCTGTTATCACTAGTTGGCAAAACAGAGACACTGCTCTTGAGGCTTGGCTGGGTAATCTTGGAGGATATGTTGAAGGATGTGACAGCTGCAGTGAGTTTGTCTGGCAGAAAGTAGAGACACGAAGATGTAAAGCTTCTGTTTAATCCCCCCCCCCCATTTTTGTTTGTTGCTGGATTGCAACCACATGATAGGATACAGACTACAAACTTATTTTAGAACCCTGTGTCTATAACTAGTGCTCTAAAATAAGTCAAGATACTTGAAAGAAATGACTTGTGTTGAAAATCTGAAATGAAAACCCCAGATTTCAAAAATTCTGTGGCATACTAGTGAAATCTAGCATAATAATATGGTTTATATTTACTACGCTGTCAGCCAGAGTTCCCTGGACTTTTCTACTTTAAGTGCATCACTGAGTCTTATAGATGAAAGGCCAGCAGAGTGCCCACAGGGTGGCACATTCCGCCACTCCACTGCAGTCTCACTCTTTGCCTCTCTCGCGCTCTCTCCCTCTCTCTGTATTAAACCCTGTATGGATGTCTGATGTCCATTATCAGACATCCTCCTGTGAGATGATAATTGATAGATGTGTGCACAATGGTGTGCTGGGCATAGTATCCTCCTCCGGTCCCCTCTTTAAATTTCCCTTCATCATTACAGATACCACGTTGGGTTACAATAGGTATAGCCACAACCGCTATGGAAATACATGAATAAAACAATAAGACACAATCATTTTAATAAAGATAGCAGATCTCTTGTACAAAGCACAACTCGCTGTCTGTGTATAACAGTTACTACATAACTGACTTTCCCTATCATTCTCTCGGATTTAACAAGTGTGGTAGTCTGGTTGTTTTGTGTCCTGATGTACATTGCAACTGTCTGCAGTTATCACACCTGTATTCCTTTCCATCAGTACAGGACTTTCTCTTTGTTGTCACTATTAACTGGCATGGTGTTTCAACTAGATAAATGATAAACAAACTCAGCTCAGTTTGGACTCAGCAAACCAAGCTACTTTCCAAATTTACTAAATAGGAAAATAGTTCTTGTTTTTCTGAGCCTAGTTCCAAAACAGGAAATCCTGTTTAATTTCTCACATCACTGGGAGTGTGATTGCACCCAACACTACTTTTCAGATGCTTTTTCAAAGCCCCTTCCCTGCTCCCATTTTCACACCATGAACCCCTGAGTCTTGGGTCCTTCCTTCCAGTCAAACCTTCCCTTGTTGCAACTGATGCAGTGACTGCTCCTTCCTGCTACACACTGAAGTAGTAGGAGTAGGAGATCAATAGGGATGCCACTGGAAACCATATGTCTTAAGGCACCTGGGCACAGTTATGAGACATTTGGCATCATCTCAGGTGTCACAAACTCTTACATATGTAATTTGCCAGCCCCCTGACATTCCTGTTGAGTGATTTTTTTAAAAAAAATTGCATATGCTTAGAAGCCTTCTAAGTCAAGTAAGACCTTCACAGGTTGTGAATGCGTTATTCATGAGTGGAGCACAACATTCTAGGGAGTTTGTATTCTGAACAAGATATATATGAACTTCAGCAACATCACCAAGCCAGTGGTGTCGATACTGACCATCTGAAGCAGCCAAACACAGGATGGTCCATGGAATGCTTAGCCATCCTCAGCTGAGCTAAGCGACTCCATATGTACACCAGGTCTGCATAAGGGTGACAAGTGATACCCCAGCAGGCAAAGGTCGAGAAGGTGAGTTTTGTTCTTTAGGCAACTAATTGCTGTGTTTTTCATTCATGGTACACTCTGTTATGCTTTATCAATTTCTTTCTCTGTTTCTCCTGTCTGCTCACAGGGGCCAAAGGCAAGGTGGCGGGGCTCACACTGCAAGGACTTGCACTGCTGGAGCTCGCACTGCTAGGACGCGCACTGCCGGGACTCGCGCTGCCAGGGCCCCTGCTAGTGAGGGTATTCTTGCGTTAGGATCTCGCTGGATCAGCTGGTTCCGCAGTATCAATATCCCTAGGCCTCCTGGCTTCTAATAAGTACAAGACCTGTGCTTAAAAGGCTTCTTGTAGATCCTGGATAACAAAATGGTATGTCATGTTTTTAAAATGTCTAATTTTTAAGGCAAGCCTACATAGGATATTATTCTGCTCAGAGTTTAGTGCCTGTGGCTGAAATAAGATAGTTGGAGAATAGGTAGCAAGTTGACTTGTGTTGTGAGAATACTATAGCTCATGAGTGCAGAGTTAATTTTGGGTGGGGAGCCAGATGACACTCCCCCCAGCCTTCTGCCGACTACATGACATCATTTGCTCCACGGTCCAAATGATGGTCAGGACCAGCTCCACTGAACACAGACTTCCCCAGTTAGGGATGCCCCATGCACAGCAAATCAAGCCAATCTAATTCCTGTTGATTTTCCAGAGACAGGGACTAGATTGCTTCTGCCCTGTTCTTTATGCCCCACCTTCCTCCCACAGTGGGAGGCAGGGCATGTGAAAGACAAACAGGTGAGCTCCTTTTGCTTTCTGATGGGGCACTGAAGAAAGCTCAGCAGCTTCCCCTGCCCTGCATCCTTTCTCTATTGTGGAAAGCAGGCAGGGTGCATTAAGGGTCAGGGGACTTACCCACATACACAGCAAGCGTGGCTATTTCCCCTGGTGGTAGGTTGTTCTCTGGTCCTGCCACCCTTCATCCCTGTGGAGACAGCAGAGGGGTTTGAAGGGCAGCAGGATTTTCCCTTTCTTGGTGAGAGAATGAGCACACTCTTAGGCATAGGTTGATGCCAATATTTCCTGACCCTCGTTCCCTACGACTCTGTCTGATCAAGTATAACAACTGGGGTTTGGCTGCTGGCACATGCCACTGAGAATCCGCACGATTTTCTCCAGCCTCAGATCTGTGATAGGAGCAGGGTATGCCCTCTGGAGGCTTTCATCCAGGAGGGAGACCTGGCTGTTTTGGCTTCCTCCATCTGTGCAGATGGATGGGAAAACTGTGTGGGCCCAGCTCATGACCCTGAATTCATGGCTGTTGGATCCCCAAGCACTTCAGACCCCCAGATCTAGCTCCAGATAAATGTGCTGATGGTGCAGTGGGTGCTGGTTAATTTGACATTCCTTTCTCTCTTTCCAATAGATTTGTATTCCTAGGCTAACAAGAAGCCTGTGTGAAAATAACAATGGGAAAGAAGTACAGAAAAAAGTGTAAATAAATGTGTAAAAAGATGTGTAATTTATATATTTAAAATGACAATAAAGAAAAAAAGATAGTATTATAGTGGTTTTGTTCTTATTTTGTGAATGAATCTATGTAAATTAAAAGACAGTTTTTGAGACTATACTAGCACACGCATTCATTTCATTTCAGTGGAAACCGTCTGTGTTATGTAACCTCATAAGACTCTTGTAAAGAGGTTCATGGGGAATTGCTAGCTAGTGACTTTATGAAATACCAAAGACTTTATATCTTTGGACATATTTTTTTCAGACTTTATAAATTTTCCAGCTGCATTTGGAATTGCATTTATCATTTCTTAGAACAATGTCTTTCAGGTTCATAGCTGAACCGGCATTTATTATGCAATTGCAGCTGATAATTAGATTAGGAAATTTCATAGTCCATACAGCACTACTCAGATACGGTACTGTACCTTCTGAACACTTTACTTCATTTACACAGAATACTCACACAAACTTTGTGAAATTGAGGACCTCCGTTTTCATGACCCGAATCTTTCTTTCTTTCCTCTTTCCTTTTATGCTCAAGTTGTGCCATTGTACCCATTCCTTGCAGATTCATGATAGACTAATCTTAGAGGATCTTACTTTGGATTCTCAGCTTTGAGGTCAGAAACAGAGGTCTCACTCCAGTTCCCCACACCCTTGAAGCCAATGTGGAAAGAAACATGATGGTTGCTTCTCTGAGGTTGGAAGACTGTCCACAGAAAGAGAGTAAAGGTGATGGTTTGGGGCCGGGAAGGGAGGAGATTGGGGCCATTAGGAAATGAATGGCATTCCAGTCTCCTTCCCTCCCACTCTGAAGCACCACACCTAGACAGCTGAAATTGACTAGCTGAAGTGTGGAGTGCAGAGGTCACCTCTGTTCACCTCTGTTGCTTCCCCTGCTTTGCACTGGATGCTCAAAAGATTCAGGACAGAGTGGAGAACTGTAGAAATCAATATAACTGTGTTTTTGATTCTTTTATTCTTATCATGTGAAATCTTAGAATTATCTTTGTTTCAGGATTGACAGGCAAAGGAATATCCAAATCTAGTATAAGAGAGGACTCAGTTAGAAACCATACCTCCCATGCGCAGCCCACAGAGTCAGTCCAGGAAATGCCATGTTTCATGGTGTCAAAAGCCAGTGACAGATTGACCAGAACTAATAGGTTGGCACTCCCCTGTCTCTGTCCCAATAAAGACCATCTATCAGGACAATCAAAGCTGATTCCATCCCACAGCCAGGTTAAAACTCATGGATTTAGATAGTATCTTCCAAGAGTGCCTGCAGTTGCTTCACCTTCACCCTGGTAAGTACTGTCTCTTTAAATACAGTAGGAACCACCTCTTCCAGTACAGATGCATCTATACATCTATACTCCCCATACTTCCTCGCTATACTTCCTGGACCCAACTGGTGATACCTCCTTGGGTAAGTCTTCTTGGCTAGGAAGGGAAACATTGAGAGGCCTTGAATCGCTTGCAGACAAGTTGTCCATATCATCAGGTTGCAGCAACTTAATTTGATGCCAGAATATCCAGCAGATGGTTATATCAGAAATAGTGATTTTGTATGTCAGCAGTAGGATCTTGAACATGCTTCAGTAGCTACAAGGCAGCCAGTATAGTTCTTTTTACACAGCTATGATATGTGCTTAGCTAGAAGGTGTGCCAAGCATCCTAGTCACTTTGTTCTGCAGGAGCTGCAAGTTTCCAAGACAGGCTCAGAGCAACCTCAATTAGAGCAAATTACAGTAGTCTGTCACAGGGCTACCATTGCAGGAACTGGTACATTAACCAATGATGATATTAGGTACTCTTAGCAGCTGAAGTGACCTGGGCCTCCAGTGACGAGGATGCCTCCAGGAGCACACTCGTGCTGCTGTTCCTTCCAAGGGAGAGAAATCCATTCCGGAGCATATAAACAAATTCCTGCAACTGGGAGCCCTGCCCTTACAAGTTCTCTGTCTTTATAAGGGTTCAGTTTCAGTTTCTTAGCCCTTATCTAGCCCATAATTGTCATTTTTTGTCCACCAGACCTCAGGCATGGGCAGTATGTGACGCCTGAAGAAAAGTTGAAATCGCCAGTTTGCTACTAAAATTTGCCAGCAAATCACTCTGTAAAGCTATAAAATGCTACAGTGGCTACATTTGGCTCATTTTAGGCTATTTGTGCAGGCCACTGGGTGGTCCATCACTCTTACAGATTACTCCCGCCCCACAAAATTAGGCAGGCAATGGAACGCAGTGTGTCTGGCAGAGCTGCAATAGGGGCTAGTGTGGACTGTCGGTGCCTATGGGCACATCTGGCTCACCTTTGATATTTATTTATTTATTTAAAACATTTCTATGCCACCCCCATCGCAACAAAGCCTCAGGGCAGCTCACAAAGGATACATAAATACATAAATAATAACAGTATAACAATTAAAAAATTGTTTAAAAATATAGATATAGATATAGATAGATGTTAAACAGCACTGGGGACAAAATTGTCCTCTCTGGCACTCTTTGAGCTGCAAGGGGACTGAGATAAAGTCATCTAGTGTTATTTTCTGGAATGAATCTCCAAAAGTAAGTGTTGGGCTGCAGTCCGGGAGATCTGGATTCCAGTGTCCAGATGCCCACAAAGCTCACTGGTTGACTTTGGGCCAGTCACAGACTTTCATCCTAAGCTCCTTCATAGGGAGTTGTAGGAAATGTATTCTCTGAATGGATATAAATATAATAAATACATTTAAAAATAAGTAAGAACTGAACCACCATAGAATGGGGCTCCCAATTTACAAATGTTTATGTCCAGGGGGATATCAATGGTATCAAAAGCTATCAGGCCTTCAGTGGACTGAGATCATCAGATTAATGCAAGAGTGCCAGCAACTGAGATGTCACCACTGTCTCGAGCACCTAACCCCAAAAGGATTTTCTTTTGTTTCCAGATAATTTTTAGCATAAATCTATGTATCTATGGAGTTTTTTCCCCAGGAGGGGCCACAACCACACCTTCAAGGCAGCAGGGACTGTATAAGGATTAAAAATATTGAAGAAATACTGATTGGGAAGGGTCAGGAGAATATATGGTGGCTGGCACAGGTGCAAGTGCATTGGTCTAAGCTTTCAAGTTTCAAGAAGTTTGCTTTTCCACACTTAAGTCTATGGCAGTAAATATTCAATCAAGAGAAATGTAAGCGCACAATTTCCACTGTGAATTTCCTGGCTCAGGGGACTGAGATTATTGCTTATTTCCAGGAAATCCTAAGGGACAGAATGAAGAAAGAGCTGAAAAAAGGGGACTTGGATGAGGAGAGGGAGAGCTATTTTACTTAACTATGCCTGCCATTTGGTTGCAAGATCTAAATGAGGAAGCCAGTGACTTATTAGAAAGGAAGGACATAAGGTTTTAATGTGTGATTCATTTCTATGTTGATTACTTTTTGCAAGAGATGTTGTGCTAGTTTGTAATAATAAAAGTGAAAAAATAGAACTTACTCCCTTCCTGCCATTTAATTTTGTCTGAGGAACCCACCATTTCTGAGGATTGTTTTCACAATCGATTTCTAAGTTTGGGGGTGGTGGTTATGGTGTTTCAGTTACCTGATACAGTTCTGCTCAGAATTATTCAAATACATGACAATGAGAACCCTTTTCCGACATGCCCTTGATCTTCATCTTCATTATGGGTCACCCTCTTTCTCTATGTCATTCATTTGCCCACCCAGGCACATATTGATTGACGAGCACTTTCTTGCACACTAATCAGCAGGGTGAGCTTTGCTCCATGAAAAACAACAAATAACATTGCTCCAAATATCTGACAGATGGAATCAAACTAAAACCAACCAACCAAACAAAAAACATCTGTGAAGTCCAATGATGGTAAATTAGGGCCACTAAAGAGGGACACATCTCACACTCTGACATTCAGAAGATTTAGTTTATCCAGGATACTGCTCCTGCTGTCTCTTAGTGAAGGGGGGTCTAATTCACACAACTTTTCCCACCCAGACTTTCACCCTAGATTGGGATACAGGCCTCTCTCTCATACAAAACCTGGCCAACCTTCCATCTATTAGACTGATTACTCTGAAGCTCTTAGAGCCTTCCTAAATCTGCTGCAGAGGTTGATCCTTTGGAGTAGTGTGAGAATTGGCATGGAGGACTGCAGGGGAGAAATAGAATTGGCAAAAATAAACACCATTCCCATTCCACTGATAGAAGTTTTTGCTGGATCAAAAAGCTTCCTTTCCGTGGAGAGACAGGAATAGATTCAACTGATTCTCTGAACACTAACCATTACAACATATCCGAGGCTAGATAGATCACCACCAACACTTGTCCTGATTTCATAGCTTAAGATTCAGAGTTCTAAAACTTTCATGTCTTTTCATCTTCACTGTACCTGCATGGGATTTATCTTTTCTTCTTTCAGAAGGGACCATTGACTTCAACCATAGATGAAATTATAAAAATGACTATAAGGTGCTATAGCAAATACCAATAACAAATGATAACATTTTAATTCATCATTTTATTTCCCCCCCCCCTTTTTTTTAGTCCAGACTGTCCTGAAAACATCGTCACAAATGGAACATTGGTGGTAATCACTCTTTATTTTCAGAGTTCCTTCCTAAAAATGATTGTCAGATGAAAGACGTAAGCCATCTTGCTCTGCACTGACCAGGGGGCCCTCTGTGCTCTCCTCGCACTGCTTCTGCCACTTTCTTCTGGATTTCTTTAGACCAGTTAGAACACAACTTTTGAATAGGATGCATTTTTTCTGAGGCACTTATTCCAGTCTGTGCTAAACCCGTGGTACTGTTTGCGGGAGCAGGGGGGGAGTAGTGGCTTCAGTAGACTGGGGGACCAGGATGCAATGCATCCTGTCAGGTTTCAACAAAACAGCAGCATCTCTGAGAAAGAGATACATTTGGTCAAACTTCCATTGCTTTCTTGCCTGACTCACTTCCTCCTGGCTTCTTTTTCTCTCTCTCTGCATTGCCCACTGTACTGGAGAGTAAATGCAAAGCTGCTTCCCCATTCCCTTATCCTAAAAGGAACAACTACATGTCTCCTTGGAGTAAATAATATTATTTGCAATAGGACATACTCAAAAGTAAATCACATTTACTTTAAATGCACTTACACTTGGGACAGTCAGCGTGGGATAGAGACTGCATTTACTTTCTGGAACTGTTTTTGGGTGGAGTAGAATGGAGGTACTGAGCTGTGAAAAGTGAAGGCAGCAGGATCAGGCTGCTGAGCTGTAAGCATGTCACTGTACCATTGACATCCCATTGTTTTTACAGGCACGTGACATTTCATGTCTGGAAGTTACAGTGGATTTTGAGAAGCTTAAGCAACAATACACAAGTGAGGTCATTGAATCTTTAACTGGTTTTGTATGAGTTACATTGGACAAATGACACAGAAACCTCTGGAAGCTGTATACTCCTGTCTGTTAAGAGTACAGTCCTAGGAATGTCATTCTATAGATAAGTCTTGGTGTCTTCTGTCTATCCTGTGCACTTTTGGGGAGAGCCAGGCAGAGCTCGATCTACGGGTCGTGCTTAGTGAATCTTTAACTGGTTTTGTATGAGTTACATTGGACAAATGACACAGAAACCTCTGGAAGCTGTATACTCCTGTCTGTTAAGAGTACAGTCCTAGGAATGTCATTCTATAGATAAGTCTTGGTGTCTTCTGTCTATCCTGTGCACTTTTGGGGAGAGCCAGGCAGAGCTAGAAGCTTTTCAAGCTTCCCATTCATACATTTGGTTATTTAGAATTGGATACAACTTGGGGATGGTGCTGGGAGATGGAGTACCTCATGGAACTTGTGCATCTACATGGGTCCACCCCTTTGCACAAAGCTGTTGTGACTGCGAGGGGTGAAATGGGGTTGGGATAGGTAAGAAAAATCCCCATTTGGATCTCTCTTTCCAAGGACATACTTGTGTCTAATGCCTCAAGAGTGGAAATCTGCCATTTCCTCTGGACTCTCCTAAGGAATATAGATGAGTAGGAAGTGTGCAGCCCTTGCTAACCCCTAAAATTCAGGCTGACCCAAATATATATAAAAGCCAAAAGCTGCTAGAATTTGAATGAAGTGCCAGACAGGTCAAATTAGCTTGTTTGGGAACTATTTTTGACCCTCTGTAGCTGCTACTTGACATTCTGTATTTATATTTGACATTGTTGGACATTCTATAGTGACTACAGATGCTAATTTGTTATTATGGTTTTATTATTTGAAAACCCTCAAATTATGTTTTCAAATTATTTGAATTTGAAAACATTTGAAATGTTTTGGGCATCTGCAGAGGGGATGTCTGTGTGTGAATCCATGTAGACCACAGGAGAAGCCTGGGATGTGTGTGTGTGTGTGTGTGTAAATTGCCCCTAGGCAGCTTCCAAGTTGCCCAGCCTTGGATTATAGAATTTCTCTGCTTGCTTTATTTATTTGTCTTTGGTTTTAAAGGATGCATATGAACTTTTATCTGGATGCACTTTTCACGCTTGACAGTGTTTGAATTTATTTTGTACTCTTACATGAGTACAAACTGTGGCTCTTTAAGCTGCTTTGAAGGGGCAACCATACCTTGTTATCTACAAGCAGATGCCATATCCTGATGAAATGTCATTTTTGAGGCATTAGGAAGGGATATGGAAGCCTGCTAGCTTTGGCGGTCTACCGCCCAGGTGGTGGCTAGATCAGTTTATTACAGAAAGATCACACACAAGCTGCTACACCACTTGTTGAGGTCAGCCCACATTGTTAATGTTCCCCCTTTCTCTTTGTTTTTTTTCCCCTCTCCACCTTCCCACTTAGAAGGTGATCTGATACTCACAGTTCGAGGCTCTTATGAGGAAGTGCAGAAGATTCCACTGGATCCTGACTCTACAATTAATAACCAAATTGTTACTTATTTTCACTGTATGAAGAATCACCAATCAAATCTGGAGGTCGTACTACCTAAGACACAGTGGTCAAATGTATGTTACCAAAGTTACCATTGCTAACGTGGCACCTGTGGTTATTTGACTGAAAAAATGGGAGAGGGGGAAGTATCAAATTCTTCTATCTCAAACTGCTTACAGAATATAGTTTATTTGATTTTTTTTTTAAAAAAACAATCAGTTACCCTCTCCAACTGACAGAACAGTTTTTGTCAGAAAAACAGGGAAAGAGACAATTTCTTTTTACTCCTGAGTACACTCCAGTTTTAAAATCTGCTCTGGAGGATTGGGAGTCTTTATGGAGAAGATTTTTCTGGGTGAGGGATGGAAGGAATGCAGGAAAGCTGAAAGGAAAGACCCAGAGCACAGGTGGAAATCTGTTTACATGATACAGGCTTTCCTCTTTTAAAAAATCATTTCATATTTGCAATGAATTATTCCTTCAAGTTATTACAGTCCAAGTCTGTGTATGTTTAATGTTATATAATGTATGGGCAAAATCTCCATGCCTTCTTTTGAATAAACATAAAAATATAGACACAGAATGAGTCCGAAGGGGTCTTCCAGGCCATAGAGTCTAACCCCCTGGCTCCACTTATGACATGCCTATAGTGTGAAAATAAAGATGAGGTGAACTTTGTAACCATCTTGGGTTCCTTGCAAGATGAAGAAAAATGGTGCAAAATGTAATGTGATAATAATACATATATATGTTTATATATTTAGCTGGTTCCATTCAGAGAAAATTCTGAAAGAGATGCTACTGTGATTTTGCCTTTAACTGAGCTCCCCATAGAAGAGGAAATAATATTAGGAGAGGTGAGTTCCTTATCTTTAAGAAAATAAATGTGTACTGAATGCAAATATTTGTTAGGAAAAAGAGGGAGGTCTTAGTTCAGTGACAGAACACATAATTGGCATGCAAAGGATCCTGATTTCAATTCCTGGCAGCTCTTAGAGGGGCTGGGAAAACCCACGTCTGAAACCTTTGAGAGATGCTGTAACAAGTATAGTCAGCACCTTAACATCAGTCTTACTTAAGTTGGATTACTTCGAATTCATAGGACTGCATTTTAAGCTAGTCTGAAACTGTATAAAACAGCTTCCTATTTTCCTAACCATTGTTTCAATTCTACTAGTAGGAGGGGGAGCATAGAACAGCTCAACCTTATCAGTAACAAGGTGGGGTGTTTGTAAACTTGATGGGGTGAGATACTTTATGATATGCCTTAGACTTTATTAATTTTCTTTCTTTTCAGAACCAAGCTCTTAATCTGCAAGTGCAGGAAAGTAAATGGTAAAATATTATTTTTCTGTGACAGTTTCTTCTAAACACAACCACTTCCACATTTGTCTTCTTTTGATTCTCAAAAGTGCCTGCAAGCATTTGAAGGGTATTCTACATCACGTAAGAGTCTTGCACAATTTGCTGCTTAAGAAGCAAAAAATAAAGCCAAATTCCTGGTCCCCAATCCAGATAAATTTAGCCATGATCAAATCCCATTGATAAGAAAAAGATAAATAAGTCATGCTCACGGCCAAGCAGAGTAATATATTTCAGGAACATTTTTGGCAAATCAAAAAGTATCTATGAACCTTTTTGTCATTGGGCAGGTAATTAATTTACCTTGTTTTCTCTTGTTATCTTTTTAAACTGGTTTTACCAAATCTGCTTGGCCAAATGGCATCATTTTTATCAGAGGTAGGTGACTTATGGTCATCCAGATGTTTTGGCCCAAACAACCACATGTTCCTAGGTTTGGGTATCATAGAAATGCTGCATTCGAGGGTGGTTAATAAACAACAGGAAGTTGCTTGTGGGCAGCATTTAGCCTGGCAATTCATGGTTTAATTAATTAGCTATGCTTATAGACTAGCGTGAATTGTTGTCAAAAGCTGCCATGATGGAATATGGTTTATGTTTAATTTTGTGGAGTGTGGATGGCCATCAAGGAAGCATGAAAGATTCTTTATTTTGGTAAAAATGTCACTGAATTAATACTTGAGTTGGCTTTAAGATGTCCCACCTATTCTAACTTGGGTGTCCAAAGCAGCCTGTCTTATTTTAAGGTAGCATGAGGCAACTGTTTAAGGAATAATTTTCAGAGGGATGGCATAGCCATAGGCTGTGTCCAGCCATAGTTACATGCAATATTGCCATGCTTTGAGCTTAGCCCAGCTATAGAATTATATTAAGTGCAAAATCTGAAGGATGCTAAAATACTATATTGCAGGCCAAAAGACTTAGATGTACGCATAGAATATGACTTGTGTGCAGAGGAAAAGAGTTTCCTAAACAAGAGGAGGAAATATGTTCATGCTAGTGTGAAGAAGGCTCTTCAGCTGCAGGAAGTACTGCAGGATGATGAGGTATGTGAAGCAGGAGCTTGTCCTCTCTCCCCCGTATGACTAGAATGGTCAGATAGTCCCCTTAATGCATTAGCAAAAGACATTCCATGACAGAATGCTGCAGGAAGTAAACATATCTGATACATGCACCAAGTCCCTTTTTACCAAGTGTGGTATATGTGTGTGGAGGGTGGGGTGGGGGAATCTTTGAAGGAAAAAAAAAAAAAGAAAGATTCCAGAATAGGAGGAGGAGACCAAGGAGATGCACAGACAGCAATATATTGAAGTCCAATGTGTTCTAAGTCCTAAGACTGTTTGTTAAGGACAACAATTTGCAATCCTATGCATGTACTTAATTTGGACAAAGTTTGTGGCAATGAAGTGGACCTTACTTCTAAGTAGACATATAAAAAATTCTAGTAATCTCTTCAAGAGCTAGGTAAGACAAACTTGTAATCTAAATGATAATATAACTCTGTAGATGGTGTGCACAATTCTTTAGCTGTTACTTAAAAAAACAAGTCAGCTGTCTTATGGCTGATAGTTCTTAAAATATTGTCTTCTCTGTCTTTTATACCTCTCTTTGAATATCAACCACTTAAATTAAGGCATGAGGAGATGGGTAAAATGGTTTGCCATGGTAATCCACACATGATATAAGCCTTATAATAACATGTGTACAGGAATTCCTGTTCCAAGCATAGTGGTTTAGCAAGGCTTGTGGTCTTATCAGGTAGAGCCAACATTGGCACAAAGATGCCAAAGACTAATCTTTCTGTGTAATGTATATGCATTTTGTATGGACAGTGGAAGAACAAATGGAAGATAATAAGCAGTTCCTGTATTCTACACACATAATCATCTGGGCTGCTAACAAGAGAACTGGACCATTAAATTACTCCCCTAAGTCTCTGCTAATGCCCTTAGGTGGAAGTTCTTTTATTGCACTGAAAGTGTTGGTGATGTAGAACATCTGCTTAGTGTTCTTTCATATAGTCCCTTGGATAAGGACTATGAGGCTACCACCATTGTTTTTGTGGGCTAAACAGGTACCTGTGGTGGCAATCATGACAACAGGTGGTGGGACCAGGTCATTCACAGCAATGTACGGCAGCCTTCTGGGTTTGCAGAAACTGAATTTGCTAGACTGCATTACATACATCACAGGTTTATCTGGCACAACATGGTAAGGAGGATTTTCTTTTCATTTACTGTCTTTTGCATGCCTGATTCAGTTCAGTGTTTACCCTGCACTACAATTGTGCAGAACAGATTCAGAACAGGATGATTATTCAGAAAAATAGAGGGGCTTTGGTCCTGTTGGTATGCCTGTACCTCTCTGTGGCTTCCTGAATTGAATATTGTTCAATTCCATGGATTCTCCAGCATGGAATTTCTCAGGGGTCTACTCTGTCCCCCATGCTATTTAAAGTACAGAGTTTTGGAGAGTGCTGCACCTCTCTCCTTTTCACTGTCAGCAGGTAAGGCTGTGCCTATGCAAACAGATATCTGGCTGTGACAATGGACTGGATGAGGGCTAACAAACTAAAGCTCAATCCAGACAAGGCTGGGATGCTGTTGCCGGGTGGGTCTCCTGACTGGATGGAGCATGTTCAACTTGTTCTACACCCCTACCTGGTCAGGGATAGCCTGGTTTCAGTAACCCATGCTCTGCTAATCTCTAAATTAGATTACTTCAATGTATTCTATGTGGCATTGTTGCAGCTCATGCGGAATGCATCAGCCAGACTAATCTCTGGGACGTTACATACAAACCAGTAAGGCCTGCCTGTATTCCTCTGGGCTCCATTCAAGATGCTGGTTTTAACCTATATAGCTTCATGTGGTTTGGAACTGCAATGCGCAATATCTCTCCCTTTGACAGTCCACCTGGACACTGTGCTACTAAGGGGCCTTCTTAAGTGCCAGCTCCAAGGGAGGCTTGAAGAATGACAACCATCTCTAGGGTGCCCCCACCCCATCTATGGAATGACACCCCTCCAGTGCAGCCCACGTAGCTCCAACTTTGTCATTTTTTGGTGCCAGCTTATGATTTCCCTTTATGCTGAGGATTTTAAAGATGTGCTTGCTTATCCAGAAGCTTGAAGGAATTACCCCCCCCAGTTTAAAAAAAAAAAAAAAATGAAGAGTCATTCTTCACTGTATGTTTTTAAGCTGTCTGTTATTTTTATCCTTCTTGTTATTGTATTTTTATTGTACTTTATTGCACTCTTTTTATGCATTGTTTGAAATTACCCTGAGACCTTCAGCTATGGGGTGGTACAGACATGAAATACATTATCATTATCACCAGCACCATCATCATCCACGCTGCCAGTCCTGCTTCTGTTGTGAATGAAAATCACTTTTTAATAAGTGATTCATGGCTGAGGTTCACAGACATATTCTGTGCTTCATGAAGTTTAGGCTTATAGTGTTTGTAATAAATGAACAAGATTATTTTATTTTAAAAGATTTAAGAGAACCATTGTCTGTGGGCCATAGGACAATTTAGATGCCCAGTGCTAAGGTCTGAGACAGTACTCTGATCTCAGAGCTGGGTATTAAAGCTTTATCCCATCTGCCGCCCTCTAACAGTTGGCATGGAGGTTTTGAGAACTTAAGGTTTTGTGCAATTAGTTGTATGTCACTCTTATATTTTAACATATTTTAATACTCAGGACTATGGGGAAATTGTATGAAGATGCTTATTGGTCACAAAAATATCTGGAAGAAACCATTAGCGAGGCCCGGAAGCAAGTAGTCAAATCCAAGTTTAATTGCTTTTCCATGGATAAATTGAAGTACTATTATAATGAACTGAAACAAAGAACTGAAGAAGGACATGACACTTCCTTTATTGACCTCTGGGGGCTTGTCATTGAGTCCATGTTACATGATGAGGTAATGGCTGTATCCACCGCCCCGCCCCAATTTTAAAACATGATGATGGCAAATCAGCTTGAAGTGTGTTGGTTGGAAAAGAAAGTATTTCACACTGCCTCAGGATGCAGGGATAACAAGTTTAGATGGTTGTCAAATTAGTGGAGGTTAGGGTTATCCATGGTTACTGGCCACAGTGGCTGTATGGAACCAGAGGTAGATGCTGCTGCTGGGTACAAGTTTGTCCAGCAGTAACAATGAACTGGGCTATTGCCTTCATATTGTGCTTCTGGACTTTCTGGAAGCACACAATGCCACTACTGGAAGCAGGTTATTGTGTTAGTTGAACCTTTGGTTTAACACAGCAGAGCTCTTTTAACATCCCTTTAATATGAATGCATACAAGACTCATCTACTCCTCACCAACCTCAGACACACCTTACACAGGTGATTCTTCCCCTCTCTGCATATTTCTGTCTAGCCACAAGTCAGGCAACAATGAGCACAGGACTGGCAAGGGCATTGTAGTCCATGAAGCAGGATCTGCATCACTGCCAGTTGCCACCAGATTTACCTAACACAAACATTCCAAGAGAATTTGGAGTTCTTTAATAAGAACCTTGAGTTCCACAATAGAAGAAAGGTGGAGTTTAAATGTAGTAAGTGTAATATAGGTAGGCACTTATACACACAGGCCAGCCAGCTTTTAGCTGAACCTTAAACTTCTCTCTCTCTCTCTCTCTCTCTCTCTTTTTTGCAGAAAAACTGTCATACCCTCTCAGAACAGCAAATGGCTGTAAGTGAGGGGCAAAACCCCTTGCCCATTTACTTGGCGGTCAACCTTAAAAACAAATACAGTGCTCAAGATTTTAGAGGTAATGGTATGATGAATTGTCTTATTACCATACCTTTTCTTCCTCCATACTAATAAATTGTGAGTGCCTACTTTTATTGCTTATTATAAATATACAATCAGAATGCCATATCAATTACATAAAAATTGTAATTACAAAGAAAACCTGAACAATAGCTATCACCATGCAAACTAATCCTAATTTTCCAAGATACATTGCAAACACCATCCAATATCATCCTCAAAAATTTATGCTGACGTTGCAAAAGCTTTAATTTTCCTGATGTCCAACTCAAATTGCTGTTTCATATAAATAATAAATGACATTCAAAGTTGTTCAGATTTGCTTTTCTCATTTGATTTTATATGCCACCTGATTAGCCATAGGATCTCTGGGCTGTTTACATACAAACACAATAAAATCAACAATGCAATAAAAATAATTTCAATAAAATTATTAGTAATAAAACAACTTATAATAATAAAATAAATTAAATATATACAATAAATAGCTAAATGATAAATGAATAAGCTGAGAGGGGGATATAAAGCAATCATCCAAAAATACAGCGTAAGGCACAACCAAAATTAAAAACAAAAACATAAATTTACAAGTAAACATGGTCAGTTCCTGCACATTTCCAACATGTACTGTGAACATTGGCATACAGTATATCCTGACCAACTTTTGTGGTCTCCTGTACCAACAATAAAGTCATTTATAGAAGTCTTTCTTTAGATTAACACATGGGAATTTTTTGCTGATCATCTTTTTGTGGCACCCAATTTCTGCCTGCTTTTTATTAATAAAATAATCCCACCAAAATTCAAGCGTATTTTGACTTTCAAATATAAGATATGAGATGAAGGAATTTCAATAAAAAAATTACATACTAAATTGTCCACTCCTGCCAGTAAACTGTCTTTGAAAGGCAAGATTCTAGACTGAGTAGATTTTTTTCTATATGCAGAGATCCAGATTTTTGTTTTTGTTTTTTGTTTCAGTTGTGTAGTGTTTCAGTGTATATAAGTAAAGTTACCTCCCTGATTTTTCTTGCTAATAATTTTTGGTACCATTAAATGAAACACAGAAACATAGAAACAGAGCGAGTCAGAAGGGCCCCAGCTCTAGCCAGCTCCACCCATGACATGCCTATCATGCGCATGTCTAGCCTATCCTTGAACACCCTCATGGATAGGGCCTCAACCACCTCCCATAGAAGCCAATTCCATACCCTTGGGGTCCTAACTGTCAGGAAGTACTTCCTGGCATCCAAATTAAACCTTGGTTCCTTCGCTGCATTGGAGTGTGTTCTGCCCTCCTCTGCAGGGGAGACCACCCACCTCCGTGACACACCCCTCCCTCCTCTTCTCCAGGCTGAAAAGACCCAGTTCCCTCAGTCTTGCCTCATATGGCTTTCCCTGCAATCTGGCCACCATCCTAAATAAAGGGCTAGGCTTATTTAAAGAGACAATTTGTTATTTTTAAAAATATCATCCACAGTTTGACATAACAGGAAAAGATCAGGCATTAGTTAAGAGGCACAATACATCTTCAAGTCAGTAAGTGTCTAGAAGTAAATGGTGAAATCCAACATCATATTGCTGGATTATATTATATTGCTTAAATAGGATAGTCAGCAGGGAAAGGCCAGGCTTCAGGGACTGGCTGTTATGTTCCAGAAACGCAATCCTTTGCCCTCAGAGGATGGGACTCCAGAGTTAAGAACTGGATGAGGCAGAGGGCTAGATTTCAGATGGGCATTATGAAGTTCCCACATTCTTGGGTCCTGGTTTTCCAGGTAGTCTGCAGGGACCAGATCTCCTGTGACCTGGAGACATCTTGTTTTCCTCCTTAGAGTCTAAGGACTTTAACATCATGCTGCAGCCTCTTCTGCTGTCCTCACAGCTTGAACCTACTGAACAGATAAGAAGTTCTTACTCAATAAGGCTAACAAGCCTAATGAAGCAAACACCAAATTTAAGTCTCAGTCACAATCTGCCACCTGTTGGAGCAACATACAGGCAAGCTTGTCTAATTAAAGCATCACTCTGAGATCTCTTTTTCTGTCTTTCTGGGAAAACTGACTCTGGTTTGGTTAAAATCCACTGAACCTGACTTGCTTCAAGTCTTCAGGCGAACTAGGCTTTATCATGGTCAATCTAGCTAGATCCTCATTAGGACAAGCCTCACCAGCTGAAACAGAACACAAACCTATCGTTCTCATTCTTACTCTGAGAGGGGAAAGGAAAAACACCCACTGTTGATACCTCACGCTAACCCTTCGTCTGCAGTTGTTGTGACTGTCTTTTCTGTTCCTCCTTTATACCCTAACCCTTGACTACCGCACACGAAGGAACAATAGTCCATATGCCTTGGGTAATTTCATTACTGAGACTCTTTAGTACATATTAAATCTCCATTTCATTGTGTTCACAGAGTGGTTGGAGTTCACTCCTTATGAAGTGGGAAGCTTCAAGTATGGAGCCTACATTCGTTCAGAGGATTTTGGTAGTGAATACTTCATGGGACGACTGATGAAGAAGCTCCCAGAATCACGAATGTGCTTCATGGAAGGTAAACTCATGTGTCAAGGGGAAATAATAAGCTTTGGGGTTTTTTTTCCTGGTGTGGAAAGGGACATGCGTGAGAGAAGCTGCAAGTGGGGCAGAAGAATGAAGGGAAGAAAAAGGCATTTGACTTGTTCTCTATATCCACTGATCCAGTCAGCTGATGCACATGCTGGGGCATGCTGGGAATTGTGGTGCTGTATTTATTACATTTTAATATGCACATAGCACATAAGCAAAAAAAAAAAGAGTTTGTCAAAGTACATCGTTGAGGCCCCATCGGTGCGGGTGTTCAAGGATAGGCTGGACGTGCACATGGTGAGCATGTCATGAGCGGAGGCGGCTGGTGCCAAAGGTCAGACTAGATGGTCTGGGAGGCCCCTTCTGACTCGCTCTGTTTCTGTGTTTCTATCTGAGTCTGTGCTCATTCAAAAAGAAGAAAAAAAGGAACTGAAGTGAGTTTCTTATACATCCCTCTATGCCCTCAACCTGCACAATAGGAAAATCACTGAGGAAAATATCTTCAGTCTTCTGCTCTGTGATTGTGAGCCTGCTAAGCTTCAGATTCTTCCTCAGTCAGAACAGGACTGTAACTCAGTGACAGAGCACAGGCTTGGTATGCAAATGTGCCTAAATTCAATTCCTGGCATCTCCAGATGGCATTGGAAAAGCTTCCTGAAACCATGTCAGTCCATATTGTCAGTACTCAGCCAGATGGGCCAATGGTCTGACTTAATATAAGGCACCTTCTTACTCTGGATAATGGTAGATTTGCTCAGTTATGCATTCATGTATATGTGTGTGTCTTAGCTATAATTACTTAAAATACAGAATAAGTAGTCTACTGCTTGTTGTTATAATTGTTAAGATATTCATTCATTCATTTGCTATACCCACTGGGCGGTTCACAACATTAAGTCACCCATCCAGATTTCAACCAGGTGTGACCCTGCTTAGCTTCCAAAATTACAGAAGATCAGGCACTCAGGCTATATGGAAGCTTTTATGTATAGTGTAGTGTAGTAGTTAAAGAGTGCAGGACTGAGACTGAGGAGATCTGTCTCCACCATGGAGCTTGCTAGGTAACTTTGGGCCACTCACAGACTCTAAGCCCAACCTAAGTCACAGGGCTGTGGGTATGAGGATAAGATTGAGAAGAGGAGGAGGAGAATTATATAAGCTGCCTTGAGTTTCTTGAAAGGAAAAAAGCAGGATTTAAATAAAAATATGTATAATAATATTATATTTGTTGTTGTTGTTAGTCGTGAAGTCGTGTCCGACCCATTGCGACCCCATGGACAACATTCCTCCAGGCCTTCCTGTCCTCCACCATCGCCCGGAGTCCACCTAAGCTCACGCCGACTGCTTCAGTGACTCCATCTAACCACCTCATTCTCTGTCATCCCCTTCTTCTTTTGCTGTCAATTGTTCCCAGCATTAGGGTCTTCTCTAGTGAGTCCTTCCTTCTCATTAGGTGGTGAAAAGTATTTGAGTTTCATCTTCAGTATCTATCCTTCTAAAGAGCAGTTAGGGTTGATTTCCTCTAGGACTCACTAGTTTGATCATCTTGCAGTCTGTCATGAGGCCGGACCACTCTTCCTAATTACTCACACAGATACAGGCAATAAAAGTTTAAAGCCTTTTATTCTAAACAACTTCAAAGATACACAGATGATGAATAGTACAGGAGTCGTTAATGGTAGTTCTAAGCAACACAGTTGTCCCCTCCTTTCTGACCTATCTCAGATTTATGACACACTCTTAACCCTATGTGAATGTTAGATAAACTCCTCTCCCTCCTTCTTTGACTTTGTCTCTCTTCTAATTGGCTCAAACACTGGGCATTCTCCATGGCAACGGGCTGTCCCACCGTCTGCTCAGCAATTCCTGCAGGCTGGACAAAAACTTCGTCAGAGTCTGGCAGCTGGGAGGGAGGGCAGGGGGCGTTTGTGCTATGGGCACCAAGTAGAAGTCTTCTTGCTCTAAAGCCTGACTCTCACTGGGAGTTTCTCTCTCTCTTACACGTACTAACGACTCCTCCGAGTTGTTAGGCACAACACAGTCCAAGGGACTCACAGGAGTCTTCTCCAGCACCACAATTCAAAGGCTTCTATTCTTCGGTGCTCAGCCTTCCTTGTGGAATAATATTATATACCTTTTATCAAAAGTTTCATTTTAGGCCTCATATCAGCTTTGACTTAATTTGATGGATATAATGTTGAATCCATATGATAGATTTTACTTTTCATTTATTATATTTATAACAATTCTAACTCTTTGACAAACCCACTGCATATAAAGTTGTTGAAATTTGAGCATATGGAGAAAGTTACTTTGCTACAGTGCCATTGTATGAGTATCTACTCAAAAGTGCATTTCATGGAGTTCAGTGCTGGTGGTTGCCAGTTCTAAATTAATGTGATGGTGCAATGGCTGTCCCAAGCTGTTTAGGGCTTTATAGGTAATAACCAGAACCTTGAATTGAGCCTGGACTTCGATGGGAAGTCAATGGAGCTGATAGAGGACTGGGGTTATATGAGAATAATGCCCAGTCCCTGACAGCATCCTGGAAGCTCTATTTTGAACCATCTGAAGTATCCAGACTGTCTTCAAGGGCAGCCCCACATAAAGCACATCACAGAAATCCAACCAGGAAGTAACCAATGTGTGTGTTACTGTTGCTAGGCAATCCTCCTCCAGGTAGGGACGCAGCTGATAGATTAGCCGAAGCTGAAGGAAAGCACTCCTCGCCACCACTTTCACTTGGGCTTCCAAGGACAGCTCCGGGTTGAGGAGCACTCCCAAGCTGCGGACCCTGTCCTTTAGAGGGAGTGCAACCCCATCCAGGGCAGGGCCCAAGTCACCTACCCAGGAGCTCGAATCACCCACCAACAAAATCTCTGTCTTATCTGGATTGAGCTTTAGATTATTGGCCCTCATCCAGCCCATTACCTCAGCCAGGCACCTGTTCAGGACAGCCACTGCCTCACCTGGATTAGTTGAAAAAGAAAGGGAGAGCTGGGTGTCATCAGCATACTGATGACTCCGCAGCCCAAACCTCCTGATGACCTCTCCCAGCGGTTTCATGTAGATGTTAAATAGGAAGGGGGACAGAATGGAACTCTGTGGTACTCCATGGCAGAGTTACCATGGCACAGAGCCAGAGTCCCCCAGCACCACCTTCTGGGATTGGCTGTCAAGGAAGGAGCGGAACCACTGCCAAGCAGTGCCTCCTACTCCTACCCCAATTCCTTCAGCCTATCCAGGAAGATACCATGGTCGATGGTATCGAAAGCCGCTAAGAGGTCCAGGAGAACCAACAGGGATGCACTCCCCCTGTCTCTCTCCCTGCACAGGTCATCATACAGGGCGACCAAGGCAGATTCAGTACCATACCCGGGTCTGAAGCCGGACTGAAATGGGTCCAGATAATCAGTTTCATCTAAATATTACAAGTTATGTACTGAATTTCAGTGCAAGGGAAAAAAACCACCCATAAGACTTCACCTGATTAGAGGTTAGTCATTTAAAATCTCTTCCATTCCACAGGTATGTGGAGCAGTATATTTTCCTTGGATTTTATGTATGTTTGGAGTTTGGCCAGTGACTCAGAAGATTTCTGGTACAAGTGGACAAGAGACAGAGTACATGACATTGGTAATGTGGCTTTCTTCCTCTTTCTTGCCTCTCTTAAAAAAATAAACTGTATATCCTTTTTGTTTACAGTTGCATAGGTGAATGAGTTCATTCCTTTCAAAGGTGGAAGGGTATAATCGTGTAAGATTCTATTAAAAATGTACTTGTTTGCTTGAGGAAAGTGAGCAGAGATAGGAAAGCACATTGATCAGGAAGAGCACAGAGCATGGCAGCTAAATTTCTTCCTATCCCTTTGACAGGTAAACTTTTAGAATCTTTTACTGTGTGAACATGCATAGGATTGTGCCCTAAGAGACCATCCTTTTCATAAAGATGTAGAGCTGCACAAATGTTCACATATGAACATGGTTGCATGGATCTGGGATTTCTTTGGCAGGGATAGCGACCTAAAGATATTGAAAAGGAGGCATTCATTGGGAAAGGAAAAAATTGAGGTTAAAGAACTCTAGTACTTAGTAGCTGTTTTATAAGTTGGTGCAAGGGCTGAATTCTTCATTTGGTTTTTCCTTCATGTTTAACATGAAGTTGTGGCTGGGTGGCAAAACATGCAGCTGGGTGGCTTGGAGAACTTAGGATCACCAGCATCAAGTCAGCAGCAGTGGCACTTAAATAGTTCAGTTCACTCAGTTCAGCATCTCTGGTTATCGTAGAGCAAGAAGCTAGGCTGGAAAAAACTTGTCCCAAACTTGATCAGGCTTCAGTATGAAGAGAAAATGCTAGACAACATAGACTAATGATGTGACTCAATAGAAGGCCGTTTCTTGTTACACATTTATGCAGCTAATCAATATTAGCCATATAAGTGTGTGTGTAAAATACCAAATTAAACAAAAAGTATATTTCCACCTTCAGTGCTCCTTCAGTTAGCTTGTGGGCCTCCTGTGGGTGCAATATTGTTTGAACACATAAGCATATAAACATGAGCACAGTTAAGGCACTTTAAAGTTTCTTTGTGCCTTTTGCAGATGATTCCATTTCACCTTCAAGACCACATGATCTGGAAACTCGCCTGGTCACTTCCCAGAGCCAGTTTGCTTCTGTTTTCCGAGATGTCTTAACAGGACGCCCAACAATGTCAGAATATCCCAATTTCCTGAAGGGTTTACAATTTCATGACAGATACTTGGAGAATGCACAATTTACTACATGGAAAGGCACAGTAATAAACCTACATTTCTGGTGATATCTTGTTAGGTGTATATAGTGATTTCAGCTATCACTCATGACCAGGATCTAGCTGACTCAGTTCACAATCTGAGAAGGGCGTACCTTTCAATACTTAACAAAAATAGGTAATCTAGTTCTGCTTTAAGTGAACTCAGGATTCATTAAATTCCGCAAGGATAAAGTGCCACTTCTACTTGAATCTGGCAATTGGCTCCACCAAAGATACTTTGAAAGAATACACATTTTTTTCTGTAAGGTAAAAAGTGGGTTCAAAGCATGTGGACAACCTGTGCAACATGACACTATGCAGTTTTTAAAACACCTCTTTGGTCACATGTCATTACCATGGTTATGCAGGTGATGTGTTGCCACCTTTCTTGCCTTATGTCTTCAGACCCGATAAAAACATTCACATTTTAAATAACATAAATTTCTTTTCTTCTTTTAAATTTTCCATACAACACCTTCCAACACTTTCAGGACTGAAGAACGGTGTCTGTTAGTGAAGGTATATTATTTTCACTTTGAAAGATGAAAAGACTAAACATTTTGAAATGAAGAAATAATAAAAACCAAGAGATAGGCACCCATACTAAGTACAAAAGTAGTATATACTTGAAACCTGTAAACATGGTGAGGCAATATGCTTCTTAAATTGGTAACAAAAATCAGTATTATTAGAGTTCCCAAGGACCACCAGGTTGACAGGTAAACACAGAACTTCTTCAGTATACATCTAATGGTATTTTAAACAACTCTTGTTGTTTCAGTTTTTGCATTTGGCAGGGCCAGATCAAACCATAGGCAGTTGCATCCAGTTCCTTTTCAGAAGGTTTGGGCTGGCCTGTTTATTAGGCCCCTGCTGGAGGTGGCAGATGTTGATGGTGTGGCAGGGAAGCTGCACAGTTTGGAAGACACAAATGTATGCCCTTGTGAACTGCTTTGTGTTCCCTAAGTTATCTCACTTCCCCATGGCCCATGCCTTTATCTGGTTGAGCTGCCGTCTCATTGCCAAGAGTCAAAGTAAGATTCAACTAACAGTCCTCCTGGTTTCTGTACATGGACTGTGGGTGGATGGAGAGACAATTTAACTTTTATCTCTGATAACCAGATGCCTTAGGCCAGCCCTGTGGAGAGTTGTTTTTCCTCCCAGGAGTCCTGTGAACAGCTGGAGTAATGGGGAAAAAAAGAAGGTGTAGAGCAAAGTGGAATGCCCACAAAAGATAAATGTTCACCTCCTAGGATTTACTCTAAGCACAATCAGTCCAGAGGTCTTACATTGTTAACTAATGTGTGGCCTGATATTGTCACCACTCTTCCCAAGAGTACTCTGAGGTGTGTAGACTGTCCAAGCCCAGTGCCATGAGGTGCCTGGTAATCAGTCACTGTTGTTTTGGCAGCAAAGCAATCTCATTCTGTCTGCAGACTAATGGAAAGGACAACTTTCTTCAGATGCATTATACATCCCTTCCAAACAGATGACAGAACACAACAACTGTACCATTCATCCAAAAAACGCCCCCACACGGGACTTATTTCTAAGTAGACTTTTTAAAAGTAAGTACAGTAAGACCATCCACAGAGAAGTTTGGTTTCCCCATATGCTCTTTAACCAGACTATACTAGTCTGCATTAACCCTTAATGGGCAATCAATCTAAAAACACAGCTTGTTGACTTGCCATCTTCTTGTTATGCCAACACAGATTTAACCAGTGCTTTTTGTGTAAAAAAAAAAGGTGCCGGAACTCACGTCGCCCTCGGCAGTAAGCGCGCGACCACACACACCAATCCCAAGCCGAGCAGCCAGAGCAGTGCCCTCACTATCTCACTATCAGATAGCAGATAGCTGTTAATGTTAATGATGTTTGCTGCTGATCTGCTATGATTCAAAATCACTTCGTAAAATCCATTGGAAAAAAAGCTGCCGGAACACAGTTCCGGTGCGTTCTATGTCAAAAAAAGCCCTGGATTTAGCTATTTATTTGAAACATCTTTATCCTACCTTTCTTCCAAAAGATACAAGTCCACTAATAACAGTACAGAAATAAAATAAGAATAACTGTATTATAAAATCACTACAAAAATTAGGAACAGCAGAGGATTAAACAAGAATGAAAAGCAGTAATGCAGGAAGTGCTCCTTTCTTTTTGTGAAAGGGACCTGCTTTTGTTAAAAAGTTGACGTGAAAATTTTTCTTTTCAGACACTGTGCTGGATTCTCTTCCTGACAAGCTAATGGAAACAGGAGCGCATCCACTGTCTCTGGTGGATACTGGGTTTTTCATCAACACCAGCTACCCGCCCCTTCTGATACCTCAGAGAAAAGTGGATGTTATACTACATTTAAATTACAGTGGGGGTGGCCAGACCTTGGTGAGACACATGAGCTTATCCAGCTTATCTTTTGTCAGCTGCAATACAACTTTCTCATATTTGAAGAGTAAACAGTTTTTAAAAGATGTTTATTTTGCTTTACTTGCAGTCATAGAAACATAGTGAGTCAGAAAGGCCCTCCTGGGCAATCTAGTCTGACCCCCAGCACAAGTCAACTCCACTCATATAATGTCCAACATGATGATAATGTCCAGCATGATACAAATTATGTCATCAATTGACATAACTTACATAGTTTGCAAATTTCAGCTTTGCCAGGGACAGACTTTGGATTTTCTTTTCATGGTTTTGTTTATACATTTTTTTTTAAAGTGTAGAGTCTAGACAACCCTTTATATATTACTGCACGGAAAAGATGGCTCTTGCCCTAGTAGGGCTGTAGAGATTTGGAGTGCTGCCTGGAACATGCTATTAATTTATTTAAAAAAATTTATGCCAAACATTACTAAAAAAAAAGTCTCTGGACAGCTTACAAGGTACCATGCCATGGAATCTGAGTGGAATGCACTCAGGATGGTTTTGCTGGCAAGCCATGCAGCGTACTGCAAATGGACCTTCCGCAGCATGTCATGTTATACTAGGGCAGCCATGTGTTCTGCTTTACTGAGGCTGGACCTCTATTTCAAGTTCTTTTCTGCTTGATATGCTGGCCAGTCCAAGTCTGGTTTAAAATCAAAGAACCACAGGGAGGAAGAACAGCTGAGTGCTGCAGCTGTCCACCAACAGCTAGCACCTGAACAGCTGACTGAACATGCAGGTCACTTGTTCATAGTCTTCCCTGTTTGGGTGAGACGCATTTCTGCCTAAATTATGGTAATTATTTCAAATTTGCATCAATACCTATATATCAGGATAATGTTGTGCAAATCTCTATCTTCTGCCTTAACCTTTTGCATGATGCAGTTCCTCCTTTTTGGCAATCCTTAAGTGACCACTGTATTTTGCCGTCTCAACAGCTCTCCATTTCTTATGTACAAGCCAGCGCCAGTGTGCTGCAATGGTTAAGAGTGTGGATATGGCCCAGAGATCTCAGCTCCAGTCCCCACTCAGCCATGGAGCTGACTCTGGGCCAGTCACAGACTCTCAGTCCAACCTACTTCACAGGGTTGTTGCGGGGATAAGATTGAGAGGAAGAAGAAAATTGTGTTAGCTGCCTTGAATTCCTTGAAATGAAAAAGGCAGGATATAAATATAACAAATAACAAATTGCTTTTGGGTGGGATTTGCAGGCAAAGGCTAAAATGCAGCAGGTGCACTTTGTGGATTTTCTGTCTTTCAGAGCTTTCAAAAGGTGGGCATGCTAAGGCTTTACCAGGCCTTTCTGAAAAGGATGTTCCACAGGGTAACAAAGCCCTGGTTGTATTTTGAATATTGTACAAGTGCTTAATACAAACGCCACATGTACTTATAAAAGTTTTTGTGATTGGATGCAGGGCTTCTTATGCATTATTTGCATGCCAAGTTGCCATGTGTAGTGTTAGGCCTTTAGATCAGGGTCACGCAAACTTTTCAGCCCCAAGGGTCTCAATGGGTGTCTTCTGCAGTGCTCTTCTTTAAACACATGCACACACAGCAGCAGAATTGCTAAGGGAGCTGCATGGGGAGGCCCTAGAAACCCCAGAACAGTCAATGTTTTTCTGCCACCAATAGCACTAAAACAGTGAGCACGTTTGCTGCCTTGCATTTGGGGCTGCCAGCAAAGGCTGTGAATTCCCAGGCTTTTCCTGCCCCCTTTTAGGGTTTTAGTGAAAACGCCTGTTTGTGCTACTGAAATAGGCTACACTGCCATCTATTGCAGCATCAATAATGTTGTCATATACTTGACTGTTAACCCCTTTTTATGCTTGGTTGATTTATCTAGAATCTGGACCAGTTTTCAGCATATGCCTCCAAACAGGGAATCCCATTTCCCCACATTGAGTTAAGTGAGGAAGACAGGGAAAACCTGAAGGAGTGCTACGTGTTCAAAGATGAAGACAATGCAGCAGTTCCTATAGTGCTCTTTTTCCCACTAACGAATGATACCTACAAAAAATACGAATCTCCAGGTAGGTTGTAAAATGCCATTGAGCTTTGCAATGTTCCATACTAGTCACACCCCAATAATACTATCCTGTGTCCAATGACCTTATGCATTTCTTTGGGTGAACAGCTATTCTTACCTTGACCACAAGACTGTAGAAGTACCCTGAAACATGGCTTGATGGGTGTAGGTAGTTGCTGATGGCTTCACCATGCAATTCTTCGCCTTACAATGTCATTACTGACCAGCTTTCAGATGTTGAGGGAGCGCAGTGAAATGTCCGTGTGTGCTGAAGTATGAAGACTGGCGAGCACAGTGAATGATATATCAACACCAAAGAAGGTCAAACAAAGTATTGGGACAGATTTTCAGTCCAGTCCTTCCTGAACCATTTAGGGCACCAAAGGCCAAAACTAGTGTTTTAAAACTGGGTCCAGAGACAAACAGGTGGTCAATGCCATATTTTCAGAATCGGTGTGTAATGTGTTTTAAACATCTGGTTTCTGCCAGCTCTCTGCAGCTACAAAGGTTTCATTTCCAAAGTGTCTTTAAAATGGCCATATCAGTAATGCATTTTGGCAGTACAGTTTGGATGTAAACAGCACGTGTGTTATGGAGGCTCCAATGTGTAGACCACTAATGCGGTTCATATCCATTTGGGGCAAATGTTGGTGTGACCTTATAATGAGATTTATTTACCTCCAAGAAAAATAATTTACAGAACATCAATAATATCACAACACTCAGGTATATAATATAGCAGTTAAGCAATACTTTTATGCTTACAGAATCATGTGGCTAGTCCATGTTACCATGTCCTAGAACAGAAGGCCTGCTGGTGAAACTCAGAGTTACTGCATTTATTTCCACAGGTGTGGAACGGAGCCCTGCAAATATGGCAGAGGGCAATGTAGATGTCTCCAGTATTTTTTCCCCATTTACTACAAGGGAGGTCAGTTTCTCAGAGAAGAACTTTAACAGATTGGTGAACCTGACTGAATACAACATCCTGAACAATGAGAAGAAGATCCTTGACGCTTTGCGTTTGGCAGTGGAGCGAAGAAAACAACAGCGGCAGCCGCAGTGCTGCAAGTTTTCAGCTGCATTTCTAAATACTTCTGACTAGGGAGGGAGCAGTGAGACTTGCTCCTGAGCGAGCTCGAATAGGATTTTCTTGTTATCAATTATAGGCTAATAAATAAAAGCTGTAATTGCAATTGAAAATGAAGCCTCTGATTTAATCGTTGGGCTGAGGGTGCAGAGCACACTGGGTGTGCAGATTTGCCACCTTTTGTTTCGTATCCACAATCAGCAAAATTTGTGTTTCAGGATGGAACTGCACCTGGCCTGAGAACTGTTTGTCACATTGCACATAGCTAGTGGAGAGCATGAGAAAAGCACCTGAGGTTTCTTGTGCTGTAGGGTTAGAGCATGGGTTCTCAAACTACAGCCTGTGGGATGGATCCAGCCCTCCATGCCCATTTATCTGGCCTGCACCGCTGCCTGCCACCCATGCGGTGAGCGCGCTGTGCAAGCTGGAAGTGGAGGCTTGCTCACTTGGAGATGCTTTTAGACTCGTTGGAGGATCTCCCAGAGAGTTCAAAACCATCTCTGAGTGAGCAAGCCGCCGCCGCCTGCCTCCCATACATGTGTGCTCGCCTCTGTCTTGCAGCATGGGCTGGAGGCGGTGGCTTACTTGCTCGGAGATGTTTTTGAACTCGCTGGAAGATTTCCAAGCGAGAGAGCCACTGCCGCGCATGCCCAACGCCACCTCGTGCGCACTTGACGACGCCTCACCAGGCTGCGCACCCTGCCCCCCCCCCACCCCTGGCCTGCATGTGTAGCTGGCGTCTTTCAACTGGCCCCCTATTGAAAAAGTTTGAGGATCCCTGGGTTAGAGGGATTCACAGGCTGACATCCTGTGATGCAGAGGACTGTGCCATTTTCATTGCTTTGGTAGGAATCTGTTGGTTTAAACAAGACTTTTATTTATTTATTTATTTATTTATTTATTTATTTATTAAAACATTTTTATGCCGCCCCATTCGCCAAAGCCTCAAGGCGGCTCACATCAGGACTTCTCTTATGATGTCCTGTTGCATTTAGAGGATGCACCAGTCAGGAAGCAAGAAAACAACTTTGTCTCTGTCCTACAAGAACAGAACAGATGCAGGAAGTTCCTTCAGATAGGACCAAAGTCCAATGTCACCTAGTGACCAAGCCATGTATTGATGCTATGCACATAACTTCTAAAGTGGTAAATTTGGCAGTTTTGCCCTCTCCTGAAGTTAATTTTTATAAAATTTCATGTGTTCCGGTCATAACAAAGAAACTTCACAGTACCCTGACCTGGTCCCCTTTAGATGATTTGGACTTCATTTCCCATCAACCCTAGCAAGCATGGCCAATGGCTGGGAATTACAGTGTGAAATATCTGGCGGCACTAGGTGGGAAAAGCTGCCTTACATTTTTCTATCCTAGAACAGCTGGTCAAAGAGCCAACCTGAGGGGAGTTGAGCATGGAATGAATCCTAAAACTTAGGTACAGGAAGTCTTTCAGTTTCATTTTTTTCTCAGATTCAATTTTCATAGAAATCTCAAGTTCTTTCTCTCCTGAATATGAAGAACATTGTGAATTTTGGTAAACTCTTATAAAAATTAGCAGAAATGACATTCTCAGAGCCAATTTCAATAAATACAGCAATTCCCAGCACAGAGTGGGCCATAACACACATGCTTTCCAGAAAGCTGTTAATCTGAGGACTCTATTAGAAATAGGAGCTGACATTCCTAATTAAACACTAACATAGCTGAATCCACATGGATTCAAACACAGATTTTTAAGAACATGAAAACTACAGTTTTGGTTTCTCTTATAGTTTTGCATTTTCAAGGCTGTTTGTAGAATAAAAATTTTTTTGTGAATCGTTGAACATTCTTACTGAACCCAAACTGAAACAAAATTCTCACCCATCCTGAATGTTTTTGTCTCAAAATTAGTCCAAGACAAACTTGTTCTGTGGATTTTTGAAGCACTACAAAATTTCTAAACCTGTGCATGTAGGTGAGAATGGGATGATTGTGCCTTTCACTTCTCTGAAACTCTTCTCTGTCTCTAGCCTACAAAAAGCAAAATAAACTCTTGTATTTATTCACCACTCTCCTTACCCTCAGAGCTGTATTCTTAATGGCAGTTGCTTAACTAAAGTTCTAGGTCAGCTAAAATTAGATAATCCCTCTGCATCTTTATTACCATATTCTCACAACTTGCATGGAGAAGCAAGCAAGCAACACATTTGCTTTGCCTTGGTGACCTTCTCCAAAATGATCAGCGAGCCAATTCTTGCATTACAGAAATGCCACCGGTGCATCCTGGTGGGTTCTTCCTGGTGGTTTCCTCCTGCCCAGATCCTATAAAACTGGATCATATGGGAAGCAGGACATGAATGCCTTTGTATTCACTGAGGGTGTGGAACGGGCTTCCACGAGAGGTCGTTGAGGCCCCATCAGTGCGGGTGTTCAAGGATAGGCTGGACGTGCACATGGTGGGCATGTCGTGAGCGGAGCCGGTTGTTGCCGGAGGTCAAAGTAGATGGCCCGGGAGACCCTTTCTGACTCGCTCTGTTTCTATGTTTCTATGTATGTTTTGGCCTTAGTGATTCAACAGTGTTCCCAAGTGATCTTGTCCCTGCTATTGGGACACTGTTCTTTTGTCAAGGGAATGATGTGGGGTGAAGGTTTGTGTGTCTGAGTGTGAAATTACAACTATACTACCTATGTGTATTAAGAGATGACTTTTCCTTTTCTCCTGCTAGTAAATTCCTGTTTACACATGTTACACATTTTAAACCTATTTAAAATAGAAAGTACCTCTTGGTCTTTTTAGATCAGGCATTCTAAATTTATCATGCAGCCAAACCAATGAAAATCATTCGATATCCAAGAATGATTCATGGGCCAAGGGTGGAGAGAAGAAGAGCTATGCTTTCAGGCAGGCAAAGGCAAGGCATAATCAGTCTCACCCCACCGCTAGGTCAGAAATTGCATCATTATAGCAAAAGAAAATGTTTCTTCCCCTGCAAAGCGTTCGTGACTTTTCTTCATCACACTGGGCACATTGGCCCTTATTCCAGAAGTCTGGATACCAAGAACAAGATCTGGTTTCAGCTAGAAATCATTTCTCCAGTGTCCTCTGCTGCATTTCAGCCCTGCATCCTCTCCTCACCTGTCAAGTGCAATCTTATATCACCAGGGGGTGGGGGGTCGCCATGGCTGTTCAGATGAGCTTTCAGTTAGGAGTGAACTGAAATGGGCAGTAGCAGAGAAAAGAAGCAGGGGCTGGGATAGTTTCTCTGTGTGTCTCTTTCAGTGGCATTCACAGTGAACATTGCTTAGTGGAACAAGGGACACGGTGTGCAATTTTACTGTTCCCATGGCAGATGCACAAAACCCTCCAAACTCAGAGACTGATAGGAATCCTGTGCCCTTTGTGGGGCACGGTGGCAACAGCCTGGACTTCTACCATGCTTTGCACCAGGTATTTGCTCTGGATGGCAGCTTCCAGCCATCTAGATTTAGTGGCAGGAAGGGGAGGAACAGAGGCTGGGATAGGACCTGGTGTAGCTGCACAGTCCCGGCCTCCTCCACTCCCTGCTCTGGCCCCAGCATGCCCAGTTTCACCAGTGCCCACCTCATTGCCCATTCTTGGACTGTGTTCCTTTGTTCCTACATAGCTACAGTCATCCAAATCTGAGCTATGCTGACAATCAATATTGAGATGTATTAAAATGTGCAAACATTTTCATGGGTTTAGCCACCATGGGCAGCCTCTCCAAGGTACTGTGGGGACATATTGCAGGGACTGCTCATAACTATAAAATCAGGATCACAAAAGCAGCTTTCAGGATCTCAGGATTTTTTATGTGACCAAAAAGCCATGACCAGCTGAAATCTTGGTGGATGTGAGGAACCTCAGAGGTGTGCCTTGGCTGATGTGACCAGTTGTGTGTTGGGTACTTCAAACATATGGCTCTCTGTGGGTGTGAACCCACTCATAAGACTGAAGCAAAGGGAATCTTCGAGCACATGCTTATTGTACATGTTCCATGTCAGTTTTCTGGGAGGCTCCTTCTGCTTCAGGATATATCTATGCAGAACAAATCAAACAGTGAAACTAGTAACATACCTGCCCACCAAAGAAGTTACTACAGTGCTGTATCCAGGAACACACCAACAGAGGGACACACCAACAAAACAATGCTCAGCCAAAGAATTTGCATCCAATTTTAGTTCTGCCTATATAAATGATTGGGGCTAACATTGGATATGACCCTTTGTTTTTCATGTACCAGAATTGGAACTCCTTAACAGATCATTTCATGCACAAAACTATGTCTCCTACTCCTCACTCTACTTTTAAAAAAAGTCCCAGTAGGCTAATTTAAGAGGAAAAAATGCCTTTTGTTGCCATGATTGCTAAAGACACTGGGAGCCAGAAACTCTGGTTGACCTACTGCCAATCCTTGAAGATCTAGTAGTAAACCTGATTTACCTCCCGCCCACCTATGTTCTAAACATAATAAGGGAGTGTGGAATTGCTAGTGCCGTATAATATCCAGTGGGATCCCAGAGGCAAGAGTAATGGTGTGTGATTCAGCTTCAAATTCTGCTAAAAATCTTCATATATTGTGGGGACAATCCTATAGCTGCTAGACCATCTTGATGGCCAGGATAATTTGAATCCCCAGCTGTGATCATAGAAATTTGCTCTGAGCTGGAACAATAAATGTGGAGCACCCTTGCAGCCAACACTGGAAGAATATCAGGTGATGCTCCAAGTTTACAAGAGGGTCTTGGAGATGGGCTTGTGGGGATAGAAGACACAGACTTTACCAGCGTGGGCTGCAGCCTCCTCTCCTCATGTTCCAAGTCCAAACACTCAGATGGCAGAAACCAGCTGCCCAGGCGTTTTGCACAGAGCATGGAGTATAGAGGTGAATGTGCTCCTCCTACTATGAATAGGGTGCCTGCAGTCATCTGAATTCAGAGGGTTATGGGCATTGTGCTGTCCATCTTCTCCATATCCTTTTGGGCAATTTCAGTGTTCGGTCCAAACTGTGTTTATTCTGCTATATTAGGCATTTGGTAGGCCATTCAA